GATGCGGGAGTCCACCAGTTCACCCCTGCTCGTCAGAGAGTGACGCACTGCACAGAGGCTAGCACGGGTCGTCACCTGGCTACGCTTACACGTCAGCCAGGGTCGAGCCTGTACACACTGACCACTGCTTCTCCTCCAGCTTCTGAGTCTGGTCGAGTCCCTTCGTCTGGTCAGGTGTTAGCTGCGGCGTCCAGGTCTGGTCCTGAGTCTGCCCCCTGTTCGTGTCGCCGTCTGTCTCACGAGACCCTCCTCTAGCACCACCGCCTTGGCCACCCCTCTCTGCTTCGGCTCAGAGGCATGGCCTCCCGTCTTCTTGTGTCTGGTCTTCCCCGGTCTCAACCTCCCCTTCCTCAGGGCCCTGGCCCTGCCTGTGTCCCCTGTGTCGAGGGGCGCCAGCGTGCTGCCCCTCACTCCTCTCAGTTTCCTCCAACAGAGGCTCCGTTGCAGACACTTCACATGGACGTGTGGGGCCCAGCCCGCGTCCGTGGACAGGGTCAGGAGCGCTACTTCCTGCTCGTTGTTGACGACTACTCGCGTTACACCACAGTCTTCCCCTTGCGCAGCAAGGGTGAGGTCACTGAGGTGCTGATCGACTGGATCCGCGCAGCTCGTCTTCAGCTCAGGTAGAGCTTTGGCTCCGACTTTCCTGTGTTGCGTCTGCACTCGGACAGAGGCGGAGAGTTCTCCTCTGGCCTTCTGCGTGCCTACTGTCGTGCGCGAGGCATCCGCCAGTCCTTCACGCTTCCGGACTTCCCGCAGCAAAATGGGATTGCTGAGCGCCGCATTGGCATGGTCATGGACGTCGCCCGTACGTCCATGATGCATGCGGTTGCCCCCCATTTTCTTTGGCCGTTTGCGGTCAGGTACACAGCGCATCAGATCAACCTCCACCCCAGGGTCTCCAGGCCGGAGACCTCCCCAGCCCTGCTGTGGACGGGGAAGGTTGGCGATGCGTCGGCGTTCCGGGTCTGGGGATCTCGGGCGTTTGTCCGCGACTTGTCTGCGGACAAGCTGTCCCCTCGCGCTGCTCCCTGCGTCTTCCTGGGGTTCCCCCCCGACGCCCCTGGGTGGCAGTTCTACCACCCCACCTCTCGACGTGTTGTGTCCTCCCAGGACGTCACGTTCGACGAGTCGGTACCCTACTACCGCCTCTTCCCCTACCGCACTCCGTCCCTCCCCCCACCCCCGCTCTTCTTGGTACCAGGTCCCCCCCCGGTAGACCCCCTCCCCCCTCAGGGTCCTGCTCCTTCAGGTGTGTCCCAGGTAGACGCGGTCGAGCCTGTCGAGGTCAGTGGTGACTCTGGTGCTGCTGTGGGAGCTGAGCCTGTCGTCGCTGAGACTGGAGGTGCTACGCCTGAGGGTGCTGAGCCTGGGGGTGCGAAGTCTGGGGGTGCTGGGCCTGGGGGTGCTGAGCCTGGGGGTGCTGAGCCTGGGGGTGCTGAGCCTGGGGGTGCTGAGCCTGGGGGTGCTCTGCTTGGAGGTGCTTCGTCTCGCCGAGAGCCACTCTCCCCACAGGAGCTGCGTGAGTGGTTTGCCAGGCGCTGGAGGCGTGCTGCTGGTGCTGGAGGTTCTTCGGCTGCAGAGGGTACTGCTGCCGAGCGTCCCGGAGGTGCTCGTACTGTGGGTGCTGGAGCTGCTGGGTCTGAGGGTTCTCCTGGAGCTGGTGCTGCTGAGGGTGTTGGCGCTGAGACTGCCGCTGGCGGTCCGCCTTGCAGTGCTCCTGGTGGTGCTGCTGGAGGTTCTGGAGCTACTGGAGGTGCTGCTAAAGGTGCTGCTGGAGCGGGTACTCCTGCTGGGGGTACTGGTACTGTCCCTGCTGTTTCTGGCGTCGCCGCGCGGCCCCGACCGTACTTCGTTCCGCTCCAGCAGCAGGTTCTTGGTCTTACACCTTCTCCTGGTCCTCCTCCTCCTCCCTTAGAGGGTCCACAGCCTGTCCAGTCACAGCCACAGCTACAGCCTGCCTCCCCTTTGCCTGCTCCTTCTCCCTACGCTGGTCCGACTGGAGGTCTTACTGAGCATCGTGAGCCTGCGTCTCGTCCTGCGTCGCCTGTTCGCACTGCGCGCGCTAGTGGTCGCGGGTCGCGTCAGCGTCCTCCTCCTGTCCCTGGCACGCACCGGATGTCACTGCGTCCGTCCACTGCTCCTCTGCGTGCCCCTTTGCCTTCTCCTCCTGCTTCCTCTCTTCCTACTCTTGCCGACCCGGAGTCGGACTCTCTTCGTGCTGCCAGTCCTACTGTCACGCGTCTCCTTGCTACTACTGTCACTGACCCTTCCTTCGAGTCTTCTGCTGCGTCTGCCCTTGTCACTGAGCTTGTCGACTTTGCTGCGCGCTGTCGTCTAGACTACGTTGCCAGTCTTGTCGCTGAGTCTGAGTCTGCCTGTCCTCCGTCCGTCGGGGGTGAGTGTGCCCTTGGCACGGACCTCGTTGAGGACAGGCAGGAGGAGTTCCAGTGTCTGGCCGCCGCTTCACCTCATCTCGCGTCTTTACTGCTAGCCCCTGAGGGAGACCCGGATGCACCAGACATCCCGACTCCGCGCTCTTACGCGGAGGCGATAGAGGGTCCCTACTCCTCTCAGTGGCAGGCAGCTATGGACACAGAGATGGCTTCCCGGAAGTCCACAGGCACCTATGTTGACGAGGTTCCCCCGCCTTGGGAGAACATCGTCAGTGGCATGTGGATTTTCAGGGTGAAGCGGCCGCCGGGTTCTCCGCCTGTCTTCAAGGCGCGCTACGTGGCTCGTGGCTTCAGTCAGCGGCAGGGGGTTGACTACTTTTAGACCTTCTCCCCCACCCCGAAGATGACCACTCTTCGGGTTCTGCTGCACGTTGCTGCTCACCGTGACTACGAGCTGCACTCTCTCGACTTCAGCACCGCCTTCTTGCAGGGCAGCCTGCACGAGGAGATCTGGCTGCGTCGCCCACCTGGCTTCACTGGGTCTTTCCCTCCTGGTACCCAGTGGAGTCTCCGGCGTCCAGTCTACGGTCTCCGCCAGGCGCCACGTGAGTGGCACGACACACTGAGGACTACGCTGGCGGCACTTGGGTTTGCTCCTTCTACTGCCGACCCGTCGCTGTTTCTGCGCACCGACACCTCTCTGCCGCCGTTCTACATCCTCGTGTACGTCGACGACTTGGTTTTTGCCACAGCTGACACTGCTGGACTCGCCTACGTGAAGTCAGAGCTGCAGAAGAGACACACGTGCACTGACCTGGGTGAACTGCGTAGCTACCTTGGCTTGCAAATCACCCGGGACAGAGCACGCCGCACCATTACCCTGACTCAGTCACACATGGTGCAGCAGGTCCTTCAGCGCTTCGGGTTCACGTACTCCTCGCCTCAGGCCACTCCTCTGCCTACTCGCCACTCGCTCTCAGCTCTGCCTTCGGATGAGTCCGTAGAGTCGAGTGGCCCGTATGCAGAGCTTGTTGGCTGCCTCATGTACCTGATGACCTGCACACGACCTGACCTTGCATACCCTCTTAGCATTCTCGCACGCTATGTTGCTCCTGGGAGACACCGACCAGAGCACATGGCTGCAGCGAAGAGGGTGTTGCGCTACTTGTGCAGTACGTCGGGCATGGGGCTAGTGCTTGGAGGGCGCAGTCCAGTGGTCCTCACTGGGCACGCAGACGCTTCTTGGGCTGACGACCAGGCTACGCAGCGGTCGTCACAGGGTTACACCTTCACCCTTGGTTCCGGCTCTGTTTCGTGGCGGGCTATCCGCTCGTCTTCTATTCTCGGCTCCAGTTGTGAGGCTGAGATCTACGCTGGGGCTATGGGTGCACAGGAGTTACGCTGGCTCACCTACCTGCTGACCGACCTTGGAGAGCAGCCTCGTTCTCCTCCAGTCCTGTACGTAGACAACAAGGCCATGCTGGCCTTGTGTCGAGAGCAGCGACTGGAGCACAGGACAAAGCACATTGCTCTCCGCTACTTTCTTGCTCGTGAGCTACAGCAGCGTGGACAGTTGCGACTTGCGTACGTGGCCTCTGAGGCCAACACTGTTGATGTCTTCACCAAGGCACTTGCGCCTTGTGATCATCAGCGTTGTTGCACGCAGCTGGGTCTTGTGCCTGTCCTGCCTCACTTGCTCACTTCTTGACTTTGCTTGTACCTTCTCCTATATATACTCTTGCTCTTGCTCGCTTGACTCTTGTATATCTTTATATATGATCTTGCATGTGAACTGGCCTTGTGGCCCTTGAACTTGTGCTCGGAATGTGTGGTGACTTTGTGATCCACCCTGAGCTTTGCTTTGCTTTGCTTGACTGGTCTTGTGACCCCTTGTTCTCCCCCACTTTGCCTATGGGGGTGTGTCAGAACATTGTAGCTTACTCATTTTCTGTAGGCTATAGTGGGGTATCCCATAGGGGGTACAACCCAATTAGGGTTTCATATTTGTACCCACTTCATTTCATAGTCCATTCATTCACGTTCATTATTTCGCAGGGGGCAATAATAAAGCAGGTTTTTATAGGGGGGTGGGCTTATAATCGAGTAAATTTATAAGCGCCGGCGTTTATAAAATGACATATATGTTTTTATATATTTTTGAACACCATACTGCAGATCTCGTGCTTGCCTTTTCAATCGAGACGAAGTTACATGGGGTCGTCTGTGAAATTCTCGCGCGCGCAGGGAGGTACACCCAATCTGACTCACATCCAGCTCCTGACAGCTCATGACAGCTCCTGCTGACTGGACCCGAATCCAGTGCAGGGTCCGAATGTGAAGGGAACCGAATCTGCAAAACATCTGCCTGCTAAAGTAGAAATCGTTAAAGCGTTTTGAACACATTTCAAAAAAAACGTTTACGTGCGCTTATAATAAAACAAGTTTTTTCAGGGGGTGCGCTTATAATCGAGCAGGGGATATAAGCGCCACACGCCAATTAAAAGCGCCAGGCGCTTATCCGAGGGTGGCGCTTATATCCGGGGTATGACGGTATTTGTGTTGAGGGCTGACTGACTGCCTGACTGAATCCAGCTCCCACCCAGCTCACAACGCCCGTGCATCAGCATCAGCATCAGTTTTCTCCTCCCCCCCCTCCCCCCTCTCCCCTCCCTCCCCCTTGCCCTCCCACAGCGCCTCCACCTTGTACCTCCGCCTGCCCTCCTCCGTCATCACATGCACCACCGTGCGCCCTGCACCCACACACACAAGAAACGTTAGAATGGGCGAAGAACATGTGGAGGGGAGGAAGGGTGGGAGAGCTCGTGAGGTGTGTGCAGCTGCTGCAGACACATACAAGGGTTCCTCCGTCATTGCATGCACCAACGTGCATTTCGCAAGAGTGCAAGGGAAGTTGGGGTAGAACGAAAGGAATAAAGGGTGGGATGGTGGGGAGGAGAGGAGGGATTGAAGATGGGAGAGAGGAGAAGAGGGGATGGAGGATTGAGGGTGTTGGATGATGGGAAGTGAAGTGTAAGAAAGAGGGAACGGGGCAATGAAGGGTTGGTTCTTTGGGATTTCTCAGAAGGTTAGCTAGTTGTTGGGCGATGAGAAGTTGGTTGTGAGAAGCAAAGCAGTGGGACAGCCGGGACAAAGAAGGGTGGTGGACGAATGAGCGTTAGCAACAACGTTGATACATAGCTTAGGGTTTCAGGGCGCAGGGAGCGAGGGCAGATGAGCAAGGTGGTGGTGGTGGTGTGGCTGAGGGGAAGTGTGGTGAGGCAACTCCTTCTCCGCCCCTTCCCCCACCATCCCCTTTTCCCCTTCCCCCACCATCCCCTTTTCCCCTTCCCCCACCATCCCCTTTTCCCCATCCCCCACCATCCCATTTCCCCCTTCCCTCACCCAATCCAACCTCCCCCACTGACCGCGGTCCAGCAGCATCCAGTGCTCCGCCTCCTTGCCCTCCACCTCTGGCGCCCGCGCTGCTGCAAGTTACTTCTTCTGAGGCGCCTCAAAACAAGTCTCCCCCTTGCACCGAACCCCCCTTACTCCCCACCTCCCCTCCAACCCCCCCCCCGCCCCCTCCCAACTGACCGCAGTCCAGTAGCATCCAGTGCTCCGCCTCCTTGCCCTCCACCTCTGGCGCGTGCGCTGCCATGCCCTGCCTCGCATACCGCTGCTTCAACTGGCGTGTGCAGCACAGTGAGAGGATGAGAGGATGAGGGGATGAGAGGAAGCGAGGATGACATGGTACGTGCAACGGGGGGAGGACAGGGTGCGAAAAGGGATGGTTTGGGACGTCTAAAACTGGTGGAAAGGTGAAGCGTGGAGGACTAGGGGCGGAGAGGAGTGTGAGCCATGGTGAGCACGAGCACGAGCACCAGGTGCTCCGCTCCGCCCACTGGCAAAACACACAAGGTACACCTCGACTCTAGGGCATTTGGAGTTGAGGCCGCCTCGCCTCACAGCTGAGACTCAAAAGTCACAACGCACCTCTTGGACCAGCCCGGCTGCGATGCAAAGCCTCTGGCGTGGCGCGTGGAGTGAGTGGGCCATGGCGAGCACCAGGTGCTCCGCCCGCCCAGCCCGTGGCTGTGGAACGACACAGAGGGCGCACAGCACAGCACCTGGAGTTGAGGGCAAGTGGAGTTCACGGCGCCACACAACGCACCTCGTAAGCCAGCCCTGCGGCGAGCCCTCTGGCGTGGCGCGTGGAGTGGGCACTTGCAAGCACCAGGTGCTCCGCCCATTGGCAGCGCCCTGCGACGTTCAGTATGCGGATGTCCCGCGCCCGCCCCTTGGTCAGTAGCTGCGCTGCTTCTGATGGGGAGAGACTGGGCAGGCTCGCTGACGGCTGGGAGGGGAGGAGAGAGGAGAGGAGGAGGGGGGGGAAGGCGGGGAGGAGCGGGGGGGCGGAAAAGAGGGGGACGTGAGGAGGAAAGGAAAGGAGGAGAAAGGGGAGAAGGCGAGAAAACTGGAGAGGAGGGGTAAGAGAAGGAGCGTGTGAGAGGGAGGGTGGAAGCAGAGAGCATGCGGGCTCTGGCAGCGCCCCGCCACGTGTAGTATACGGATGTCCCGCGCCCGCCCCTTGGTCAGTAGCTGCGCTGCCTCTGATGGGGTGAGGCAAGGGAGACGCGCTGACGGCTGGGGGAGAGAGGGGAGGACGAAGGGGAGGGGTGGGGGTCGCATGGGCGCAGGAGAGGAGAGCAGGCGGACAAAGGGTGGGGCGAGAAAGGGTGGGGCGAACAAGGGTGGGGCGAGAGCGATGGGGAGCGGTGAGGAGACGGCGAGGAGCGGATGGGCAAGATTGAGGAACGGGGAAGGGTAAGGAAGGAAGGGACGGAACTCGAGTAGTACCAGTCCAGAGGGGTGCCATGATAGGTCCATGCTAGCGTCGTCTTCCTCTCGCACCGCCTCCACATCCGCTTCCCTTCTCTCTTCCTCATCATCACCTCCCGCTTCCCCTCCCCCCCCTGCGTGCCCTCCCAGCTCCCCTGAAACAACCACCTCCTCCTCCTCGCCCGCATCTCGTCCCCTTCCACTCGCATCACCGCCATACCATCTCCGCCCGCCATCCCGTGGCCGCGCAATGAGCGCGGTGATCCGCCGCGCGGCCCCGCGCCCAGTGTCACCGGCGAAAGGCGCGGAATGAGCGGGGGGGGAGGGATGCGCGGAATGAGCGGAGTGAGAGGGGTGAGCGGAATACGCAGAGCGAGAAGGGTGCGCGGGATAAGCGGGGAAGGCGGAATCAACGGGAACCGTCGAGATTGTGGAGGAAGTCGGGGGAGCGGCGGAGGGGCCAGCGCTACTCGCGGGGGCACAACAGCAGGGATCCGCGCGAGCAGCGGGAATGGGGGCGATGGCGGAGGCGAGAGCAGTGGCGCACGGCGTAGGTGGGGGAGCGGACGTGGTAACAGTAGTCGCAGCTGTAACAGTAGCAACAGGAGATGTAGGAATAGCAGGAGTAGCAGTTGTCGCAGTTGTAGTGGTGGATGGCGATGCGTCGAGCAGTGCACGCCCGTGTCGCCGCGGTGCGCGGCCACACGCCCGGCTTGTAACGAGACGAAGCATGGCTAGTAGCGCGGACGAACAATCACGTGTGGGGTCTGGGGAAACGGATAACGGGTCCTGAAAGAGGTTCGGAACGCGGTTGTCTTGCTCGATATTTGCGCGAAGTTGAGAACTGCCTGGTGGTACAACTCATAAATCCGTAGTTCAATCCAGACATGAGATACAGAACCATATTTTAATGAAGGGTGGAACAGTAAAGTATTCACTGTACCAGAGTAGCATCATCATGCACACTGCTACACCTCAAGCTGCACGCTTGAGAAGCTGGGGCACCATACCATCTCAAATCTAGAAACGTGTTCATGTATACCGTACACCAGCTGTACCAGTATGACACGAAGAAATACATCAGGAGGACTAGGAGGAGGACGAGGAAGCCGAGGACGACGAAGAAGGCGAGCCAGCCGATGATGACGATGCCTCAGAGTAAGACGAAGATTCGGAGGAGGCTGAGGAGGTGGAGGAGGAGGCAGAAGGAGGGGAAGCCAAGGGAGCAAGCATGTCCTGTAATGCTTGGGTGATGGTGGCTGCCTTGTATGTGAAGAACCCCACTAGCATGGGGATGAGCTCTAGAGGCACTGCTCCGTACTGCGGCACCAGAATCCTGTGCGCAGGGGGCAGAGGAGCGAGTGTGAAATCGGAGAGGGTGGGTAGAGAGAGGAGGGGGAATGAGAGCAGGGAGAGAGAGCTGGGAATGAGGACAAAAGGAGACGCAAAGAACTGCACTAGCCTGGGGATGAGCTCTAGAGGCACTGCTCCATACTGCGGCACCAGAATCCTGTGCGCAGGGGGCAGAGGGGTGAGCAGGTATGGGAGAGAGGGCGGGGAAAGAGAGGAAGGGAACGGGAAGATGGTGAGACGGTGTTGCGAATTAAAGTGTATGGGAGGATACGTAAGGTGTTGTGTGAGAAATGGAGTGACATGAGGGCGTGGTGTTGTTGAGTTGAGACAAGAAAAGCGAGGGGAAGGGTTTGACATAATGCTGTCCCTTGGCTGTGCCGTCACACCATGCCATCATCACACCATGCCATCATCACACCATGCCATCATCACACCATGCCATCATCACACCATGCCATCATCACACCATGCCATCATCACACCATGCCATCATCACACCATGCCATCATCACACCATGCCATCATCACACCATGCCATCATCACACCATGCCATCATCACACCATGCCATCATCACACCATGCCATCATCACACCATGCCATCATCACACCATGCCATCATCACACCATGCCATCATCACACCATGCCATCATCACACCATGCCATCATCACACCATGCCATCATCACACCATGCCATCATCACACCATGCCATCATCACACCATGCCATCATCACACCATGCCATCATCGCAACAAGCCATCATCACAACGTGCCATCATCACAACAAGCCATCATCACAACGTGCCATCATCACAACAAGCCATCATCACAATATGCCATCCCACCATGCCATCATCACAACATGCCATCATACCATGAAAACATGACAACATTCACCATCTTTTGAACGCTTACTCGTTCCATCTGTTAAACGCCATGACGAGCACCACCGGCACTAACAGCCTGGGCTGACCCACAGCTCCCCTGCCATGGACCATTGGCCGCGCACCATGTGGAGGTGCGCAGAGGAGCGAGGAGCGAGGAGGAGCGAGGAGAGAGGAGGAGCGAGGAGGAGAGAGGAGGAGCGAGGAGGAGCGAGGATGAAAGAGGAGGGGCGAGGAGGAGCGGGGAGGAGAGAGGGGCGAGAAGAGGAGCGTGGAGGAGGGAGGGAGGAGGAGAGAGGGGGAGAGAGAAGGAAAGAAGAGGAGACGAAAAAAAAGGGAAAATTGAAGCGAGGGAAGGCAAGTATGGAAGTAAACAGATGGATGAACGCCAAACCAATAGACAGAGATATTGCCTCTTGGTGGCGCTACTGAAGATGAACGACGAAGCAGTCATGCATTGAAGAGTGCTACTGCCTGCCACGAAGGCCTCATCCTCTTTCTACACGCCCCTTTTGAGAATTCTCAAAAGTGATTCCCAAAGAGTGCTACTGCCTGCCACGAAGGCCTCATCCTCTTTCTACACGCCCCTTTTGAGAATTCTCAAAAGTGATTCCCAAAGAGTGCTACTGCCTGCCACGAAGGCCTCATCCTCTCCAAGAGGATCTACACGCCCCCTTACGCATAGCTCGCAGCACAGAGCCTAGACTCAGCACATGACAGTGGGCTGATGCAGAGTGGGCGGATGTTCAAGTGTGCACCTGATGCAGAGTGAGAGAGGGAGTGCGCACCTGACACACGGTGGGTGAGAGAGTGAGTGAGGGAGCGAGATTGCACCTGACAGCGCCCTGAACAGAGTTAGCTCCCAGCGCCTCCACACTGGACGAGAGCATGCGCACGTACACCAGTGACCCCACTGCGCCCACCGCATAGCTGCATGGGACACACAAGGAATGGGGGCGAGGAACAAGTGGTTTTTGAGTTGGCTCCCAGAGCCTCCACACTAGAGGAGAGCATGTGCACGTACACCAGTGACCCCACTGCACCCACCGCATAGCTACATGGGACACACACAACACCGTGGGTGGGTGGATGGGCGGGCGGAGAATGGGAATGTGCGGGTAGGAGAGGGTAGGCAAAAATGCGGAACAGTCAGCAGGATCACCAGAATCAATGTGCTGTGTTGTACTCCTAAGTAGCCTTGTTCCCGATCCTCCTTCTCCTCTCCCCAACCTTCCCTTCCTCTTCCCAACCCTTCCTCCTTCTCCCCACTTCTCCCTCTCTCCACTCCTCCACCTCGCTCTCCTCTCCCCGCTCCTCCACCCCATGACCTTGCAGAAACCTCAGGGCTGTACAGGCAACAGCAGCACTCAGAAGTGACTGTCGATAAAGCCTCTCGTCTTATCTCCCTCTTCCCGTCCCTCCCTCTCCCCCCTACCCCCGTCCCTTCACCGCCTCACCTGGCAGCAACCTCAAGGGCTGTAGAGCATAGCAGCATCCCCGCAGTGCAGTGACCATGCTTGAGGTCTTCCAAAAAGACTAGCAAAAGCCTATCTTCGACTCTCCTCTCTCTGCTCCTGCCCCGCCTCACCTGACAGCAACCTCAGGGCTGTAGAGCACAGCAGCAGTGCCTGTGAACACCACTCCCAACCCCAGCGTCGTTAGCACCAGGCTCTGCTTCAGCTGCAGCAAAGCAAGCAGCAGCAAACAGAAGCAACCAGTGATGTGTGCAGACAGTAAATTCGAGAGACAGCACACGCAGTCGAACGAGGGGGAAACGGGAGTGTGTGTGGGGGGAGAGGGGAGGGGAGGACGGGATAGGGGTGTAAGTGCGGATAGGGTTTGAGGCAGTGACAAACACAGGCGGGTGGTGGAGAGGGAGGGGCGGGTAGGGTGTAATCGAGGAAAGAACAAGCATGTGTGTGTGGGGATGGATGGCTGGCCCGGGCATGTGTTTGCGGGCATGTGTATGCGTACATGTGTGCGAATCTGTGTGTGCGTGCATGTGTGTGTTGATGCCAGAACGGGTGGGGGAAGGGAAGGGGGGCCCGTAAACGAGCAATAAAATGGTGCCCTTTTCTGTATCCACACAAGATAACCTCAAAACCCTAGCCCCCAGCCCCAAGGCACGAGCCACAATTCCCTAACCCCAACCTCAAACCCTGAACCCTAAGCCCCAATGCCCTAGCCCCTAGCCCCAATCCCCTCTCCTCCAAGCAAGCCTCTAGCCCTTAACCCAACGGGGGCAGTCAAGGGCTGGTGCGTCACCTTCTCATACTGCTGCCTCTCTCTTTCTGCTATCTGCTGCGGGGTGAGCGGCTCCTCCTTCTCCACAAACGCCATCTGTTGCACGCACACACACAGGGCGGAACAGCGGGGGGGGTGTGGCAAGGGACGAGGGGACGAGGGGACGAAGGGGATGAGAGAGAGGGAAGTTAAGGCAAAAGTGAGGCAAACAGTAGTCTCATTCCGTATTCAGCAGCACATTTTTAACATTTGTGCTCAGAGCTCCATGTGTAGAGAATCACGTTCTTCTTGGTTTGGATGTTGACTTTTGAGTCGACTCAAAAGTCAACTCGCTACATGTGTGGAGAATCACGTTCTTCTTGGTTTGGATTCGGTTTGGGAAACGTGGGAAGGCAGCTTGCAATACTTGAAAGCCATATGGATGCAGGGCAGAGTAGGGAGGAGAGAACGTTAAAAACAGGACAGAACTACTGGAAGTTGGGAGTGTGGGAGAGTGGGGTGTGGGGTGAGATGGAGAGGCTAGGAGAGAAGAGGTTGGGGCGAGAAAGGAAAGAAACAGCAAGTGCATAAAGGAGGGAAGGGAAGAAAGCAGATGCGAATGAGGAAAACATGATCCCTTTATTAGTTTTTCTTTTTTTTCGGAAGCGGTCCGCCGGACAGGACAGGACACAATGTATTTGTCAGGACGGAGAACCGTTGGTTTGGAGTGGGCAGAGAAGTGAAATGGCTCACAAATGCCTCCTCATGTGGGCATGTGGAAAAGGGGGTGCGGTGCGGGGGAGCGGAGGGGAGGAAGCTTCGTGACTCACAACCATCTTGGCGCTCTTCCTGTTGGCCTCGGCCCACTGCCTCTCCTCCTTGGTGGTCGGGGCATAGCGCCACTTGATCTTGCCCTCACTGCTCGCCTGCTGTGCCTGTGAGCGGGGCAGTCAGTCACACACAAGGCACACACGCACACATGCACACATGCACACAGCAGGCACAGGGCCACAGACACACATGCGCACTCATTCACGCGTACATATGTACATGCGCACATGGCACACGTAGAGGCACACACCATACACAAGTACCACGCATGGCATGCATACATAATGCGCTTTTTGAGAATTCTCAAACACAGAAGTTCTCAAAGGGCAATTCTCAGTCTGATGTGTATATGATACATCCCACACAAACCCCCCATCCTTCTTCCCTGCATCACTCACACAGCATCTAATCCAACATTTATCTCATCACTCACACATCTACCCGCACGCTTCCTCTCCCTCACTTCGGCCCTTTCGCCCATTGTTCCTGTCCCTTCCACTTCCCCTGCCTGCCCCAGCCCTTTCTTCATTCCCAGTGCCCCTGCTGCTCCCAACCCCTCCCCTGCCTCCCCCCACTTCCTGCCTTCCAGTGCAGCAGAGTGGCCTGCCGCCACCTGCTTCTCCAGAGTGGCCTTTCCTCTTTCGCATCCACTCTCTCTTAACAACATCTTCACAGTGCCCGTGCGGCTGTGCCCATGCCCGTACCCATGCCCATGCCCGTACCCATGCCCATGCCCGTACCCATGCCCATGCCCGTACCCATACCCATGCCTGTGCCCGTGCCCATGCCCGTACCCATACCCATGCCTGTGCCCGTGCCCATGCCCGTACCCATGCCCATGCCTGTGCCCGTGCCCATGCCCGTACCCATGCCCATGCCTGTGCCCGTGCCCATGCCCATGCCTGTGCCCGTGCCCATGCCCATGCCTGTGCCCATGCCTGTGCCCGTGCCCATGCCCATACCCATACCCATGCCCATGCCTGTGCCCGTGCCCATGCCCATGCCTGTGCCCATACCCATGCCCATGCCTGTGCCCGTGCCCATGCCCATGCCTGTACCCATGCCCATGCCCACGCCCATGCCTGTGCCCGTGTCCATGCCCATGCCTGTGCCCGTGCCCATGCCCATGCCTGTGCCCGTGCCTGTGCCCGTGCCCATGCCCGTACCCATACCCATGCCCATGCCTGTGCCCATGCCCATGCCCATGCCTGTGCCCGTGCCCATGTCCATGCCTGTGCCCGTGCCCATGCCCATGCATGTGCCCGTGCCCATGCCCATGCCTGTGCCCGTGCCCATGCCCATGCCTGTGCCCGTGCCCATGCCCATGCATGTGCCCGTGCCCATGCCCATGCCTGTGCCCGTGCCCATGCCCATGCCTGTGCCCGTGCCCATGCCCATGCATGTGCCCGTGCCCATGCCCATGCCTGTGCCCGTGCCCATGCCCATGCCTGTGCCCGTGCCCATGCCCATGCCCGTGCCCGTGACCCTATCCCCGTCCCACCCCTACCTGCATGCCAGCTGCACGGCGGGCTGCCTCCACCTGCTTCTCCAGAGTGGCCTTGCTGGGGCGGTTCAGCTCCGCACTCAGATCCACGTCCATGCTGTTGGGGGAATGCGAGGGGGGACAGGAGGGAGGGGGAAATGGATGATGCTTGAGTGTTAGAGCGAACATGGAAAGAAGGGCGGCCAGACTAGTTGGTTTCTTCAAAGTGGCCTTGCTGGGCTGGTTCAGCTCCGCACTCAGAACCACGTCCATGCTGTGGTGTGGGAGGTGGGAGCGGGGGATGGGGGTGGAGGGGGGGAGATATGGGCGATGATGGGTGGTAGGGAGGAGGGAGGGAGTGATGGTGGAGAAAATGGAGGAGGATGTGTGAAGCGATGTGGTGAGTCGTGTAAATTTGAGGTGAGGAGGAGGAGGAGGCGCCTCTGAAAGAGACTGATTTGAATCTCGTGGTCGTGATGATGATGACGACGACGACGATGATGGTGATGATGGACAAGCCGAGGCGCTTCAGAGAATTCTCAAAATAGCGGGCAAGGGAGCGAGCAAGGGAGAGCATTTCCGAGTGAACTCAAAAATCTCCTCCAGCTATCACCACGCGAACGCGAACGCGAATGCGAAAGTCAACTGACTGGCTGACCTGTCGAGGGCAAGCGAGCGGCCGAGGGAGAGGAAACCGCCGTCAGAAGTGCCGGGGTCGTTGGACGACACGGCTGATGCGATTGGATCCTCTGCTGCCGCCTGACGGGCATGCACGCATGGGGGGAAACGCGCGCGCGGGTAGGGGGGCGACAAGGGTGGGATGGGGATGAAACTCGGGCGGGCGGGGGAAATACGGGTGCGGGGAACACACGCGTTGGGAGGAAACACACAGGTTGGCGGTAAGGAATGAGGAGAAAGGAGAGGAGGAGGGGATACACAACATCGCGCGCCACCGACAATACACTACGACACACACCATCGCGCGCCGCTCCGCTCCAATACATCACAATGCCTCAACCACCCCATCCAACGCCACGCCACACCACGCCGCGCCGTACCAGACCACGGCGCACTACCTTGTTCTTGTCAGCATCGTCCACCGTGACTGTTTTTTTCCACTCCGTGTTCCAGATATACTCGCCCGACTCCAACGGATCCTCCTCCTTCCCGCCCCACGATTGCCGAATCCGCTTGTCGAGCGGCGCCCCGCCGTACCGCCCCGGCGCGGGGACCTTCCCCGTGCTCGGCGGCTCCTGCGACGGCGGCGGCGGCGGGGGGGCCCGCGGGCGGAGGAAGAAGATGTTGGAGATGGGGGGAAGCGTGGAGGGGGAAGCCGCGTGCCGGGGTGGCGCTACCGCGCGCGTGCTGAGTGGAACGGAGGCGGAAAAGAACGCGCTCTTGTGCGCTGGAAGGGCGGCGGAGAGTCGATCCATGATGGTTCGGCGAAGATCCAACGAATGGTGGTTCGGTGATACCCAGCAATAGGGGAATCAATAATGCGGGTGGCTTACAGCGAAACAGTTAAATAGGAGACAGATGAACACAATACCGTAAGCTGTTAATATGGGATGGGAGGAGTAGGCGAGACACCACACGTTGCAGCTGTTGTTGGAGGCTGCAGCGAGTTAGATGAAGAGGTTCCGACGAGAGGAATGTCAAAGAAATATCTGCCCAAGGGAAAGGTTCCAACAATGTGCACTATGCTCGAGGGGACGTCGGGACACCGCACTGTAACATTCAGAAACACTAGTATACAGCATAGGACCGTGGGGAATCTCACAACTGAGCCTAGTTTTCGGGGACTGAGTGTGTGACGACAAACTGGTTGCTTCCGGGAATACCGTGGGGATCTGCCGCACTGTCGTTCGCTGTCAGTCGCCTACAAGGACGCTCCGTTTCAAGGTTCAGCCTATCAGCGTCGAGGGGTTTGTCATGTGCCACGTCCAACCCAACGGCCATACATACTCCACACAAGCAGCTTGTAGCTGCACTCCCGAAATCTGGTTACTTGTGTCGAGAGACATTTCGACAACGCTGGTTATCGCAAGGGATGTGGATGAGACGAGCATGGCTGGACCAAACCCTAACCCTCCCTGCGATCCGGAAACACGACGACATCGCGTCGGGCTCAGTTTGTCAAACTCAGTTTGTCACTCCTCGAAACCTGAGGTCCCAGAGCAGGTATTTCTTCTTGACGGTCGCAGGACCAGGACTTAATTAAGTACCGTGGTCCCTTTTGCAGTGTAACTGCGTTGTTTTAGCCAAGTCGTCGCCACCAGCTTGTTCTGTGCTTCGGAATCGAGGCAGGAGCCGACCCATCTCATCACAGCCGCCTTCTGCTGAGCCAACCCTCCCTCCCTCCCTCGCGACAGTTTTCTCTCGACATTGGGAGACTTGGTCTTGCTCGCTCGAGCAGCGTCTTTCTTTCACGATTTCTTAGCTTACGCATGCATTTTAAATGCTTAGATTAGAGGCTTCTATATTTCTTTAGTTACAAATTCCATGTTTCATCGCGGTACTTTCTTTAGTTATTGCGTCCCGGAAATCCCCGCGTCGTGGCAACCGTGATATTATCCCGATCGGAAGTGATTTTTTTGGGGGGACTTCCACCTTGCCTGCAAAGCGTGACGAAGTTTTCTTAAGCCTCTCACTACTGTGCAAGTACGCTTTTCCGTCGATCTTTGCAGGAGCGCGAACGGGTGCGGCCTGGCATCTTTAGTAGCTGCTACCTTGAGCTTAAACTCTCTCCGCTTTCCATCTTAACGGATCTGCTCGCAGATTTCGCCATCCTCTGGTTTGCAAACACGTGGCATGCAGTGAGTGGTCATGCGGCCGTCGCCGGCAGCGCCTGCAGGCGACCCGCCACCATCGCGGCGAAGGGCGGCAGCGGCGGCCGCCGCCAATCTACCATCTGGCGGCGACCCCTCTCCGCAACCCTCCGGGTCGGCGGGAAGATCCCGCGGCGCGCGGCAGCAGCCGCGGCTGCAGGCGCGGCAGCTGCATGAGCACGGCTCACCGTCCCCGATAGAAGCCTCTCCGTTTGGAGCAACCGGCGCAGTAGTAGATCTGACGGGCTCGGGGGGAACTACAGCTGCTGCTCGCAGCGCAGGAGCGGCGGTGTCCCCCTCCCCGGCCTCCGGGGAGGGCAGCGCGCGGAGGAAGCGGGGGAGGCGGGAGCTGGACGCGCTGCTTGGCGCTGGGGGAAAGGGTGGCGCGGACAGTCCCAGCCAAGGGGGGAGCCCGGACGTGGAAGGATGGGAGGGCCGGCGGAGCATACGACGTTTCAGCGGGGAAGGGGGAAGGGGAGGGGGGAGGACTGCAGAGAGGGGCGGAAGGGAGTTGGGTAGAGAGGGTGATATGGCGGCAGAGGGGAAAGCGGGGAAGGGGGCGGGGAAGGGTGACCGGAAGGAGAGTGAGGATGTGGGGGGAGGGTTGGAGAGCGAGGAGGAGAGGGAGGGTGAAGGGAAGGCGTGGGCATTGAGGGGGGCAGGTAGAGGAGCTATTGGCAGGGGAACAAGGGGAAGGGGTAGAGGTGGGAGAGGAGGGGCTGTGGGGACGAGAGGAGGAACCGGGCGGGGGGTAGGAGGAATGAGAGGTGGGGGCCGAGGCAGCGCGAGAGGGAGGGGACGATGGGGACGAAGAGGGGCAGAGGGGCACGGAAGGGGTGAGGGGAGGGGAGTGAAAGAGGTAGAAGAAGAGGAAGAAAAGGAAGAGGAGGAAGAGAAGGAGGAGGAGGAGGAGGAGGAGGAGGAGGAGGAGGAGGAGGAGGAGGAAGAAGAGGAGGAGGAAGAAGAAGAGAAGGTGGAGGAGGAGGAAGAGGAGGAGGGGGAGGGAGGGGTGGACGGGGGAGAAGGGGGTGTGGATTTGGTAGGGAGTGAAGGAGGAGATGACGATGGGGACGAAGGGCGTGTGGGGAATGGGAGGATGGCGAGGAGAAGAGGGAAGTTGAAGGGTAAGGGCGTGCTGCTGGCTGGAGGGGTGAAGGAGGTGATATTGGGGGGGGATAAAGGAGGGAGTGCGGAGGAGAAAGAGGGTAGAGAGGGTGAGAAGGAGGAACGGGCGGAAGAAGATAAGAGTAAGAAAGAAAAGCAGGAGGGTCGGGGAAATGGGGGGCGTGTTGAGGAAGGCGCCGAGAGGGGAGAGAAGAGTAGTGAGGGTTTGAGTGCTCAGGATTTGTTGTTAAGAAAGAAAGGAAACGGCGCCAGAATCAGTGTGTGTGTGACAGTCGAGGGGCAGAGGGAGAGAGAGGAGCAGAAAGAGAGAGAGGTGCAAAAAGAGAGAGAGGGGCAGAAAGAAAGAGAGGGGCAGAAAGAGAGAGAAGGGCAGAGAGAAAGAGAGGGGCAGAAAGATCGGGAGGAACTGGGGGGAACGGAGGGGCAGCGAGGGAGGGAGGTGAAGGGAGTGAGGGGACAGGGGAAGGCAGGAGAAAACAGGCAAAGGGTGGGCACGCATGCGAGGTTGGATGGAACTGAACGTGAGGGGCAGGGTAAGAAGAGAGAAAGTGCAGTTTTTGAGTCGACTAAAGAATCACATGCGAGCTTGAATGCAGCGGGACGTGAGGGGCCGGGTAAGGAGAGAGAGAGTGTGGAGCGTGGTTCAATGAGTGAGGGAGATGTGTGCGAGGTGGTTGCTGCTGGGAGAGAGGATGGTGGGACTGGTGGCGCGAATGGCGAGAGCGAGAGAGGAGGCGGAGGTGAGAGTGAGAGCAATGGTGAGGGTGAGGGTGCACGTGAGGTTGGGGTTGGGAGGACAGGAAAGGATACTGTTGGGGCTGTTGAGATACAGGGAAGTGCAGAGCGGGTGAGAATGGCAGGAGGAAGGTTGAGAGGTGAGGAAGAGGGAAAGGAAGGTGGGGTTAGTGTGGAGGGTGGAGTGAGTGTGGAGGCTGGTTTGGATGATCTGAGGGGGGGTAGATTGAGGATGCGCAGATGGAGTGAGGTGGTGGGGGAGGGTGGTTGGGGTGGTGGAAGGAGGGATGTGAGGGGGGAGAGAGGGCGGGAGAGGAGAGGGCGGGGGAGGGAGCGAGGGGCGAGAGGGAAGAGTGCAGGGCGGTGGGGCGCAAGGGTGGTGCGTCCTCAGCGGCGGGTGGGGAAAGAGAAGGACAGGGTGGGAGAAGGGGATGAGGAGGAGGAGGAAGGAAGTGAAGGGCAGGATGAGGAGGACGTGTGGTTGATTCCGAGTGGAGAGGAAGAGGGAGGGGAGGTTGGTGCATATGATGCGGAAAAGGAGAAAGAGAAGGTGGAGGAGGTGGAGGAGGAGGAAGTGGGTGAGAGGGCAGGGAAGGAGCAGAGGAGCAGAGGAAGACGTGGTGGGGATGAGGCAGCAGAGGTGGAGGAAGATGTGGAGGAGGTACCTCCGGTGAGAAGTGGTGGGGAGGAGGAGGTAGAGGGAAAAGAGGAAGAGGCAGGAATGCGTGAGGATGATGGGAGGGAGAGTGCAAGCAGGTGGAGGGGCAGGGAGAAGAGGAGGAAAAGAGGGAGAGAGGAAGGTGTGAGACGGGGAGGCAAGTCAAAGGCAGTTGGTGATGCGTCAGGAGAAGAGGATGTGGTGGAAGCTAGGGAGCAGCAGCAGCAGCAGCAGCAGCAGCAGCAGCAGCAGCAGCCGCAGCCGCAGGAGAGGGCTATGGCTGTGGTAGAGAGGAAGATGAAGGGGTTTGAGGGGCGCGTGGGGATGAAGAGGAGTGGGACGAGGAGTCAGACGGGTGGCAGCAGGCGTGGTGTGCCTGCTGCTGCTGCTGCCGGTGATGATGGTGATGCTGCTGGTGAGGGTGATGGTGATAGTGTTGATGTTGATGCTGCTGCTGATGGTGATGGTGCTGCCACTGCTGGAGGTGGCGGTGGCGGTGGTGGTGGTGGTGGTGGTGGTGGCGGTGTTGGTGCTTCTGTTAGCGATTATCAAGCCTTTCGTAAAGCTGGAGCAACAACAACAGCAACAGTAGCAGAAGCAGTAGCAGCGTCAGCAGCAGCAGCTGCCGCTGCTGTTACTGCTGTTACTGCTACAGGCATGGAGCAGGCAGCTGGCAAAACTGGTAGAGGCAGGGGTAGGGGCAGAGGCAGGTGGAGGGGGAGGGGCAGGTGGGCAAGGGGAGAAGTGCAGAGGGGGAGAGCATCAGAAGTGGGGGAACGTGGGGAAGGAGAAATGGAAGAGGAGCGGAAGTTGGAGGCAGGAAGAGCAGGTGAGATGTCAGGAGGTGAAATTGAAGTGCGGGAGATGAGTGAGGGTGGAGAGGCGGGAGAGGGGAGGGGTGTGGTGGGCAGTGGTGGGCGTGTTGGTGAGGTTGTGGAGGAAGTGAGTATTGATTTCGATATGATTCCTGAGGACAGGACGGGAACAGAGGGAGGAGCAGGAGAACTGAGAGATTTGGGAGTGTCGAGGGCGATTGGAAGGGGGAGGAGGGGAAGAAGCGGGATGAGAGGCACGAGAGCGACAGGAGAGACGAGAGGGATGGGAGGGACTGGGGAGGCGGGAGGCGGGCTGATGCATGTGATTCAGAAGCCAAGCGATGAAGTGATGGGACAGACAGGGACCGAGGCATGCAGAGGTGAGGAGAAGGGAGAAGGTGCAGAGGAGAAGGGAGAAGGTACAGAGGAGAAGGGAGAAGGTACAGAGGAGAAAGGAGTGCAGGGGAGGAGGGGGTCAGGAGAAGGTATGAGAGAGAACGAGGATGACGGATCGCGGGAGAAGGGAGAAGGGAGATTGGCAAGGGGAGGTGCGGAGGCGGAGTTAGAAGGGCGGATGCAGCGAGGTCGGGCAGAGGGGAGGGGAGGAGGTAGGAGAGGAATGAGAGGGAGGGGGTTTGGGAGAAGGGAGGGGACTGGGCTGGGGAAGGATGGATTGAGGAGTGGAAGAGAAGAAGACGGAGGAGAAGAGGAAGAAGAAGAGGAGGCAAGCGTACAGGGGAAGGAGGGGAAGGATGGGAAGGATGGGAAGGATGGGAAGGATGGGAAGGATGAGAAGGATGAGATGGCTGTAGGAGAGGGGGTTTCTGGGAACGATAGTGACTTGGAGGATCAGGAAGGGGCAGGAGATGAGGTGGAGACGGGGGAGGTGAGAGAAGCGGACAGCGGAGGGGTTGATGGGGTGGAGAATGGTGATTTTGTTCTTGGTGATTCGGGAATGGGGGATGTGAAAGGGGATATGGAGCGAGAGAGGTTGATGGGTGCACAGGCAGCAGCAGGGAGAGGGGTGGAAGGTGGAGGAGAGGGGGGAAGGGATGGGGGGCTGGGAAAGGGGCTTATGAGCGTGAGCTGGCAGCAGGCTCAGGCGCTGCTGCTAACGCAAGAGACAGCAGCTGCAGATGACGAGGGGGAGGAGGGCGAGGGAGAGGCGGGAGAGGGAGAGAGGGAAGGGGAGGAGGGGGTTGAAGAGGAGGGAAGGAAGGAGGAGGAGCACGAGGAGGCGGCAGATGCAGGAGGAGCAGGAGAAAGAGATGGAAGAGTAGGGAGAGGAGGAGAAGGTGGGGATTCAACTGGGGGCGTATTGGACGGGAAAGCAGGGCGTGGGTGGGGACGAGGAGGGAGAGGAGGAGGGCGGGAGGGGATGAGAACGGCAGGTGGCGGGGGAGGGGGCGGTGGAACACCTGGGAGGGGACAGGGACAGGGAAAGAGTGAGCAAGGGCTTACGGAACGAGGAGGAACGCCTGGGAGGGGACAGGGACGGGAAAAGAGTGAGCAAGGGCTTATGGAACGAGGAGGGGTTGGAGTGAGATTGAGGAGAGTGGAGCATGGGGGAGGGCATGGGGATGAGGTGAAGGAGGAAGCGGATGGGGAGGAGAAGGAGGGAGAGAGGGTGGTGAATCGGCTTAGGCCCAGGCGGTCTGCTGTGGTGGCGGTGGAAGGCAGGAGGAAGCAGGAGGGAGGGTCTGCTCATGGTGCTGCAATGGGTGCTGCAATGGGTGCTGCAATGGGTGCTGCTCATGGTGATGCAATGGGTGCTGCAATGGGTGCTGCTCGTGGTGATGCAATGGGTGCTGCAATGGGTGCTGCTCATGGTGATGCAATGGGTGCTGCAATGGGTGCTGCTCATGGTGATGCAATGGGTGCTGCAATGGGTGCTGCAATGGGTGCTGCAATGGGTGCTGCAATGGGTGCTGCTCGTGGTGATTGTAAGGAGGGAGTGGGCTCGCCTTTCGCTGCTGCTCAAGCTGCTCTGCGTGCGGCAACTGGTGGTGCTGCTGCTGCTGCTGCTGCTGCTGCTGCTGGTGGTGTTGCTGTGGGGTGTGCTGGTGCAGTGGACGAGGGAGTGAGGCAAGGGGCGGGTGGAGTGGAGGGTGTGTTGAGGCAGCTGCAGCTGCTGCGGCAGGAGAGGGAGCTGTCTCCTGTTGTGGAGGAGTTGGAAGATGAGCAGTACTGGGAGTGGTGGGGGGGCGCGGAGGGAGAGGAGGATGCATGGGACGAGGAAGGGGAGGAGGGCGAGGAGGGCGAGGAGGGCGAGGAGGGCGAGGAGGGAGAGCAGGGAGTGGAGGGAAGCAAAGGAGGAGAGAGCAGCAGAGGAGAGGGGGGAAGGGAGGGAGGAGATGAGGAGGACGAAAGGAAGGAGGGGAAGTTGATGGAGGGAAGGAGAGTGGAGGTGGAGGAGGGAGAGAGTGGGAGGAGGAATGTGGTGGGTAAGGGGGTGAAGAACCGGGGAGTGACAAGCAGTATCAGACTGGTTAGTGGGTATGATTATCACCGTGGGGGGGGGAAGGTGGAAGAGGAGGGGGGAGGAGGGGGGGTGCGGGGGAAGAAGAAAGGCGGGGCTAAGGCTAAAGCGAGAAAGAGTCTGAGGGCAGCAAGGAAGGCGCAGAAGAGAGGGAAAGGGGGAAGGTTCGTGAAGATGGGGGAAGGGGGCGGTGTGGGTGGTTTGGTTGGGGGGAGTGGAAGGGGAGGGGCGCGTGGGAAGGAGGGTGGTACTGGGGAGGATGGGCTGGGTGCGTCTGGGTTTGGAGAGGTGAGAAGCCGTGGACGAAGGGGTAGGACGGAGGAGGAGATTGAGGAAGGTGCTGTGGCTCTGTATGCTGATGATGGTGATGGTGAAGGTGATGGTGAGGAGGATACGAGCGATGATGGGAGCGATGATGATGTGATGGAAGCAGGCTGGAAAGCAGAGAGTTTGGATGTTGAGGAGGTGAGCAAGGGAGGAGAAGAGGAGGTGGAGGAGGAGGAGGAGGAAGAGGAAGAGGATGAGGATGAAGACGAGGAGGATGAGGATGAGGAGGAGGAAGAAGACGAGGAATCTGAGGAGGAGGATGATGATGATGTGGTGCCGCAGAGAGAGGAGACCGAGGAGGAGCGGCGGCGACGGCTGGAGCAAGAGGACTCAATGCTGCTGAGATACCTGCAAGTGAAGGACGCACGGGAGGTGGGTGAGAGGGAGAGGGTGATGTGACGAAGCTCGCACTGCTGCTGAAAGCAGTTGCAGCGAGCAATGTCTGACCTCATCGTATCCCAACTCACCCTCTTTCCCTCCCTTTCTCTGCTCTCTCTCCCCCTGCCTTCCCCTTCTCAACTTTTGTCTCCCTCTTCCACCTTTTCCTTCTGTATTTCCCCCTCGTCCCCGCTCTCCCTCCTGCTCTTCCCCCTCCCTCCCCTCTCTGTCCCTTCTTCCCACCCCGCTCCTCCCTGCTTCCCGCCGCTCCTCCCCCCCCTTCTCTACGTGCAGCGGCGGCGCAAGGCGGGCATAAATCGGCGGGTGCCGAAGCAGCAGCAGGAGCCGGTGCAGGCACGGGCGCATTGGGACGCTCTATTGGACGAGATGGCATGGCTGTCCAAGGTGGGTTTAGTTACAAGGAGACGTGTTGTTGGACTGGTGGCAAAGGGGGAAGAAGGCGCGGAGGGGGGATGGATGGAGCCGGTGCTGTCGCGGGCGCACTGGGATGCTCTGTTGGACTGAGAGATGGCATGGCTGTCCAACGTGGGGTTGGGGTTGGGGTAATGGGATGTGTTGGACTGGCGGGAGAGGGGGAAGAAGGGGGGAGATGGAGAGGAGCCTGTGCAGGCACGGGCGCATTGGGATGCTCGATTGGACGAGAGATGGCATGGCTGTCCAAGGTGGGGTTAGCTTAGCCTTAGGGTACAAGGGGACGGGTTGTTGGACTGGTGGGAGGAGGGGGGAGAGGGAGAGAGGGTAGAGGGGGAAACGAGCTGGCGCAGGCATAGGTGTTCTGGTATGGTCTGCTGGACGCGATGGAACGGCTGTCCAAGGTGGGGAGGGATGGGGTTAGGGAGAAGGGGGAAAGGGGAAGGGGGGAGAGGGGAAGGTGGAGGGGGGAGGGGGGAGGGGTTAGGAGGAAGGGGGAAAGAAGGGGAAGGGAAGAAGGAAGGGGAATGGGTCAACCGAAGTGTCTGAACGTTTTTTTATGGAAGTGCTCGGAATGATCTGGATTTTGGATGAATATGGCTGGTTGGTATGGCTGCAAACACATGGCATGACATGACAAGACTTGACATGACGAGAATTCTCCCCACTTGCCCCTTCCCTTGGGTGCCAGCTGGACTTTGACAAGGAGCGGCGGTGGAAGGCGGGGCAGGCGAGGAAGACTTGTGTGTGCATCCCTTGATATCCGCTCAATCCCGCTCACCCCCTTCAACCCAAATCAACCCACACCCCTCTCTCTGCGTGCCGGCAGGACTTTGACAAGGAACGGCGGTGGAAGGCGGGGCAGGCGAGGAAGACGGGTGCACGGGTGTGCCGCGCCAGAAATGACCTGGAGCTGCGAGGAGAGAAGAAGCTCAAGGTGAGTGTGCTTTCACGTTGCGCGTGCGTGAATGCGTGCGTGCATGCACGGGTGTGCCGGGCCAGACCGGACCGGACCTAGAGCTGCGTGGGGAGAAGAGAAGAAGCTCAAGGTGAGTGTGTGCGATACTTGAGTTGAGGACGCGTGCTTTACGATGGTTCTTATCGAGGCTTTTGAAAAGTGGAGGCAAAGGTTGAGTTGAGTTGAGGCTGGGTTGGCGGGTGGGTTCTCGGAGCAGCTTGCCATGGAGTGGAATGGCAGAGGGTCTGTCTGTTTTGTGGTTTTCAACAGCTTGCAAGCAATGGAATGGAACGGAAAGGTCTGTTGTGGAACGACGAGGAGGAGGAAGAGGAGAGGAGGCAGGCAGGTCAGGGTGAGGGGGCGAGCGAGACGAGATGAGCTGTTGTCTAGTCTTTCCCTAAAAAGCTCATCGCACCAGTCTTTCCCTTGTGCGCGAAAACCTGATGGCTCATGGATGGCTCGAGTTTTGTGCATGTTTTTTTTTGTTTTGTTTTTTATTTCCCTTCTTCCCTGTGCCCGTTGCACGTTTCCCCCACATGCACGGACACGCACACCTGATTGCTCGTGGGCGGCAGGAGGAGGAGCAGCGAGTGCGGCGGGTGGCGAGTGGTATAGCCAAGGAGGTGAAGCGGTTCTGGATGAAGATCGAGAAGCTGGTGGGTGCCTTGCTGCCGTGTGCCATGCCATGCCGTGACTTTCCGTGCCGTGCCATGCCATGCCGTACAGGGCCGTGCCGTGCCGTGCCATGCCATGCCATGCCGTGCCATGCCATGCCATGCCATGCCATGCCATGCCATGCCATGCCTCGCCATGCTGTGCAATGGGGTTTCGGGGATCTCTTTTCTTTTTGCGTGCGTTCCATTCCATACGTCTCCTTGCTGTGTGCATTGTGCATGCTGTTTGCGTTCCCATCCCATGTGTCCCCGTGCTGTACTGTGCTGTGCTGTGCTGTGCTGTGCTGTGCATGACCAGGTGGTGTACAAGCACGAGCTGCAGGTGGAGGAGAAGAAGAAGAAGGCCCTGGATAAACACCTGGACTTTCTCCTGGGACAGACTGAGAGGTACTGCACACGTGCATGGATGGGTGGGTGCATGGGTGGGTGAGTGCATGGGTGGGTGGGTGCATGGGTGGGTGGGTGCATGGGTGAGTGGGTGCTTGGGTGGGTGTGGGTGGGTGCATGGGTGCATGTTTGGGTGCGTGTATGGGTGCATGGGTTCAGTACATGCAGGTGCATGTGGGTAGTTGGGTGCACGTGCATGGGCATCGGCATGGGGGGGCATGAGCATGAGAATGGGAGTAAGGGCACGAGTGGTAGCTTAGACTCGTACTTGATGCTGTGAAAGAGGCATGGTGAGAGAGAGGCATGGTGAGAGAGAGGCATGGTGAGAGAGAGGCATGGTGAGAGAGAGAGACATCGGAGGGGGTGTGATTTCCTTTTGCCCTTGGTGACCATCTGTTGAGTCAACTCAGGAGTCGTTCCTGTGCTTCTTTCTTCCCTTTGAGTCGTCCCACAACGTGGTTCATCTACTGGGTGTGCTGTGCCTGTGCCTGTGCATGTGCCTGTGCATGTGCCTGTGCATGTGCATGTGCCTGTGCATGTGCCTGTGCATGTGCATGTGCCTGTGCCTGTGCCTGTGCCTGTGCCTGTGCCTGTGCCTGTGCCTGTGCCTGTGCCTGTGCCTGTGCCTGTGCCTGTGCCTGTGCCTGTGCCTGTGCCTGTGCCTGTGCCTGTGCCTGTGCCTGTGCCTGTGCCTGTGCCTGTGCCTGTGCATGTGCCTGTGTCCTCCGTTTTTTTTTTGTAGGTACTCCTCTCTTCTAGCCGAGAACCTTGCTGCAGACAACGAGGAAGGGGAGGATAGAGAGGAGGGGGAGGTGGGGGAGGAGGGGGAAGAAGGGGAGGAGGGGGAGGAGGGGGAGGAGGGGGAAGAAGAGGAGGAGGTTGAGGAGGGGGAGGAGGGGGGGGAAGATGGTGGTGAGGATGTGGAGATGGAAGGAGTAGAGGTTGAAGAGGGAGGGGAGAGTGATGTGGAGGGGAATGCAGGGGAGGGGCACGAGGGAGGGGAAGAGGAGGAAGAAGAAGTGGAGGAGGTGGAGGAAGAGGAGGAAGAAGAAGTGGAGGAGGTGGAGGAAGAGGAGGAAGAAGTGGAGGGAGAGGAGGGAGAGGAGGAGGAGGTGGAGGAGTGGGAAGAGGTAGAGGAGGGTGAAGTGGGAGAGGAGGAAGAGGAAGTTGGGGCAGTGTGTGGGGATGCGGAGTGGGATGAGGAGGTGGAAGAGGAGGCAGGGGAGGATGAGGATTTCCGAGGGGGGAGCGATGAGGAGATGGAGGAGCAGCGACGGCAGGTGAGAGGAGGAGAGGACTTGTGTGGGCTGGTTAGATTTGAGCTGTACATGTGTGGTGCATCGTTCTAACTTAGGAGCAGCACATCCAGATGGGTTAGATGGGTTATTGGCCACGTGGAGTGGAGCTATTTGTGTGTGTGTGTGGTGCCACGATGCCACCCTTTGTTCGTTCCCTCTTGTGCATGTCATGTCACATGTGGTAACATGCATGCACCACACCCACTCTCGCACCCACCACCACCACCACCACCACCACCACCACCACCACCACCACCACCACCACCACCACCACCACCACCACCACCACCACCACCACCACCACCACCACCACCACCACCACCACCACCACACACTCCTGCCTCCCACGCCCATGCCAACACCCACACCACAGCTCCTTCTCCCACAACCCCCCCCCTTCCTTCACCATTGGTATGAGAGGACGACACAGGAAGAGGCAGAAGTAAGTCCAGACATAGACGGTACACTCTCCCTCACACTCCCTTACCTCCACCTCCCCAATCCCCCTCCCTACCAATGGCCAGGAGGAGTGCGAGAGGGAGATGATGCAGGAGGAGGAGGAAGTCAGCCCACACCTACACCCTCACCTCACGCACCCTCTCAACTCCCCCTTCCCTCGCCCCTCTTCCCCGTAACCAGGAGGAGTACGAGAGGGAGATGATGCAGGAGGAGGAGGAGGTGGGTGAGGAGGAAAGGGAGGCGGAGCTAGCAGCGCTGGCACAGGAGATGGACCAGCCTCTGGAGCACATTCTGGCTGCTTACCAACGTGAGCTCTCAGATCACTACATTTAGGCATTTCAAAACTTGACGTCTCAGGATCTGAGACGCCTCAAAACAGCTAGCAGCGCTGGCAGACGAGATGGACCAGCCTCTGGAGCACATTCTGGCTGCTTGCCAACGTGAGCGACCCTGACCCCACTGCACCACTGCTCACTGCTGTTAGACGTGAGTGACCCCACAGCCCAGCCCACTCCACACCCCCTTTTTGAGGCACCGCAAAAGCCACTCCACTCCTCCCTTTGGGAGTTCTCAAGGACCACTCAGAATCAGCATTTAAGAGATGGACCAGCCCACCCCCAGGACCACATTCTGGCCGCCTACCAACGTGAATGAGCCCACCGCATTGCTTAGCGGACTGCTGCTTGTAGACGTTCCAAAGCTCTACATTCCAACATTTGAATTGTCCCATAACTAGCAGCGCTGGCAGAGGAGATGGACCAGCGGCGGCCAGCCCCTCCCCGCCCCTGCTGGACCACATGCATTCTCTGGCCGGCCGGCCGCCTAGCCTAGCCTACCAACGGCCAGCGGCCAGCCCCGCCCGCCCGCCCCTGCTGGACCGCATTCTCTGGCCAGCCACACAGCCTACCAACCATCCAACGCGAGAGCTTAGCTCACTCCACTGCTCACTGCTGTTGAGCGTTTCAATCCAAACCTTGATAACTCCTATGTTGAGACGTCTCAAGATTAGACGCGCTGGTAAAGCAGCGCCTGGACTGGACTGGACTTGACTGGACTGGACTGCATTCTGGCCGCCTCGTGAGGCTTAGTGCCAGCGCCAGTGCCAGTGTCAAGGCTGGTCCACGCCAAGGCTGGTCTTTGATGCCGTGTGTGTGTGCTCGCTCTACTCTAACCTAACCTACCTTGACCGTTGAACCAAGAGTGTTGAGACTTCTCAAGCCTCATCCACTGGAGTGGTGGAGTAACTTCAACTCTACTCGAGACGCGTCCCTCCCTGACTGAATGTTCTTGCCCAAAGTTTTTTCTTGAGCTTTCCTTTCTGCTTGTTCTTTGCCCATTCTTTGCTTGGTGTCACGACAGAGAATGGGCCTCTGCCGACAGAAGCTCCAGAACTGCCACTAGCAGCAGCAGCAGCAGCAGGGGGAGCGGAGGAGGATGAGGCAAGAGGAGAAGAAGAGGGAGAAGAGGGAGGAGAGTCTCGTGCTGATGCTGCATTGGGTGCACGCGAGGGGAAAATAGCACCAGGAGTGGAAGAGAAAGGCACAGCAGAGGACGCAGCAGCAGCAGGAGGAGCGGAGAGCAAGGGAATCGCGGCAGCAACAGGGGCACAGCCACAGAAATCGTTGCATGCGCTTCCTGCACTATCACCTGAAGCACCAGCAGCAACAGTTTCAGCCGCGTCACCACCACCATCACCACCACCAGTGGCGGCGGCGGCGGCAGGAGCGGCAGTAGCACCGCGTGTGGATTCGGCAGTGCCACCTCTGGTACCTGCTGCTGCCGACGATGATGATTACAATCCTCTGGAAGAGGGGCAGGTGAGGCTTTTGCGATGGGTGGGTTGGTGAGTTTTGAGACGTCTCAAAATGCAAGAGCGCCCACCTCTGGTCCCTGCTGCTGCTCTGATTATGAGTGTAACCTTTTGGAAGAAGGGCAGGGGAGGCGTCTGGGGTGGGTGGGTTGGTTTGCGAGGTAGGGGAGAATGTGGGATGTGGGCGTGGAATGCGGTGCTATGCGGTTCTGTGGAAGTGGGGAGATGTGCATGCATTGAGAAGGCCGCGTTTCAGAGGCCTTTGAAATGAGAGTTGCGAAGGTGAAAGGTGGGATGTGATGCGCTTCAGTGAGGTGAGTTGAGGTGAGTCGAGTGGTGCATTGAAAAGGAGGGGGTGCAGCAGCAGTAGTGAGTGTGCTGACATGAAGAGTGGCCAGTGAGAGGGAAGGGAAGTCGTGGTGTGGTAGGTTGAGGGGAGAAGGAGTGGAGGGGGGAGATATAGTCGCTGAGGGGTCTGGCTGGCATAGAAGCTGCTGCTGTACCTGCTGCCGTACCTGCTGCCGAGCCTGTTGCCGTACCTGCCACCATACTTGCGGCTGTATCTTTTGTTACACCCTTCCCGCACGTAAATCGCCATGCTCTCTGCCATAATCTATCCAACAGCATCTGTCAACTCCATTCCATAATCTCTCGCTTCTGTCAACTCCCCTCCCACCTGTCGACTGCCTCATGCCATGTCATGCCACCAACCAACCAAACGTCGACCCGTGGCAGGAAGAGGACGACGACGAGGCAACACTGGAAGAGGAAGAGAGGCTAAGAGGACAGGAGGAGGGCCGAGGGGCAGACGAAGAGGTAAACTGTTTGGCCTCTTGCACCTTTGTTTGCAAGTCCCCCATTGTCGCTTTGATTGTCAATCCAATTCCTCTCTGTACCCATACCCTTCCCAAACCCCTCCAATCCAAGGAACCTGCCAGCCAGCTGAGTTGCTTTTTATTCGACCCAAAAGCCAGCTGACTTACTGCAGAAATCGATATGTCAAGTCGAAACAAACGTAGCTTGCTGATTGACACTTGTTGCACTGCTTCTTTGTTTGTTTGCATGCATGCATGCATGCCATGCTATCACCATCACCATCACCCCCCCACTTCAGGTGAACGAGTTGCAGGGTGAGAGTGAACTGCCTCTGGAGGAGATTCTGCGGACTTTTGACTCTTGTTCCGTTACTGGTTCGCTTGCACGCAGCCATCACATCACCCCACACCCCCCCCCAGGTGAACGAGTTGCAGGGTGAGAGTGAACTGCCTCTGGAGGAGCTTCTGTTTTGAGTCCGACTTGCTGTTTGACTCTTGTTCCGTTACTCGTTTGCTTGCACACCGCTATCACCATCACATCACCCCCCCAGGTGAACGAGCTCCAGGGTGAGAGTGAGCTGCCTCTGGAGGAGATTCTGCGGCGGTACAAACAGGTATGTACGTAGGATGCTGTGCAAGCCAGTTGTGATTCTGCCAGGTAGTGACTCATTGGTGTGAAACAGAAACAAAGCCCCACCCACGAGCTATGCTTCTCACTTGTTTGGATTGGGTTGGATTGGATTGGATTGGGTTGGGTTGGATTGGATTGGATTGGATTGGATTGAATTTTACCAGAACAGACCTACAGCTCGCTTGTGGTGCTCTAGTATAGCAGATAATACTATAGCGCATGCATGCATGGACTTTCAAGCTTCAACCTCTGCTGTGCTGTGTTCTGTGGGTATACTGCTGCTGATGCAGATGAAGGGAGGAGAGGACAGCGAGGAGGGGGAGCAGGACGAGGAGGAAGAGGAATACGAGGAAAAAGAGGAGGAGGAGGACGAGGAGCAGGGGGAAGAGGAGGAGGAGGAGGAGGAGGAGGAGGAGGAGGAGGAGGAGGAGGAGGAGGAGGAGGAGGAGGAGGAGGAGGAGGAGGAGGAGGAGGAGGAGGAGGAGGAGGAGGAGGAGGAGGAGGAGGAGGAGGAGGAGGAGGAGGAGGAGAAGGAGATGGAGGACGAGGAGGATTCAGAGGAAGGAAAGGGAGACGGGCCAGATGAGTCACATGAGTTGATGGGGAACGGGGTGAAGGAGGAGCATGAGCAACAGCATGGGAGGAAGAGGAAACACCCAGCCGGTGAGAGTGTAGGAGAGGAAGGAGGAGAGGAAGGAGGAAAGGGAAGTGATGGAAAACGTGATGGGGTTTTGGTGGAGAACCTGGAAGGGAGGAGCATGGAAGGGAGGAGCAACGATGCAGAGAGAGGGAGGAAACATGAAGATTCCATGAAAGAGCAAAAGGTGAAGGAGGAGGAAGCAGGGGTGGGGAGGGAGGGGGGGATGGAAGCGGATGTGGGGAAGGGAGTGGGTGTGGGGTTGGGAGTTGAGGCTGTGAGTGGTGTTGAGGGGAAGGAGGAAGTGGGGAGAAAGCAGGAAGGAGTTGCAGTGAAAGCAGAGGGACGAGGAGACGTGGTTATGGTGCGAGGGGATGGGGGTGGGGGTGGGGAAGCAGGGGAGGAGAGTCGCAAGAGAAGAAAGGTGAGCTTTGCAGTGGGGTTGGAGGAAAAAGAAGGGGGGAGTGTGCTGGCGGAAGGATTGGGAAAGGCAGAGCAGGTGGGGGGAAGGAGTGGGGGGACCGAAGGTGTTGGGGAGATGGGGGGGAGTGTTGCAGCAGAGGCGGAAGGGGAGGAGGAAGAGGAGAAGGAGGAGGAGGGTGGGCGTCAAGTGCATGGCGTGGGAAAGGGGAAGGAAGCAGAGGAGGAAAAAGGGGAGGAGGGAGAGGGCGAGGAAGGGGAGGAGGAGGATGAAGAGGAAGCGGATGCTGGAGAGGAGGAGGACCGCAGGCGCAAGGGAAAGGGGAAGGGGAAAGCGAGTGAGGAGGAGCAGTGGAGGGACGCAGCAGCCGCTGCAAGCGCAGCACAGCCCACCGGCCACACCATGTCCACAACTAAAGTCAAAACCAAAGTGCCATTCCTGCTCAAGCTCCCGCTCCGCGAATACCAACACATCGGCCTCGACTGGCTGGTAACGCTCTACGAGAAGAAACTCAACGGGATTCTCGCGGACGAAATGGGGCTGGGAAAGACGATCATGGCGATTGCACTCCTGGCGTACCTGGCGTGTGAAAAAGGCCAGTGGGGGCCGCACCTGGTCGTGGTGCCGACGTCGGTGATGCTCAACTGGCAGATGGAGCTCATGAGATGGTGCCCTGCGTTCAAGGTGCTCACGTACTTCGGGTCCGCGAAGGAGCGCAAGGCGAAGCGGCAGGGGTGGAGCAAGCCCAACTCGTTCCATGTCTGCATCACCACGTACCGGCTCGTTGTGCAAGACGCGAAGGCCTTCCGGCGGAAGAAATGGCGGTACCTCATTCTCGACGAGGCGCATCTTATCAAGAACTGGCGCTCGCAGCGCTGGCAGACTCTGCTGAACTTTAATGCCAAGAGGCGGATTCTGATTACTGGCACGCCGCTGCAGAATGATCTGATGGAGCTGTGGGCGCTCATGCATTTCCTTATGCCGCACGTGTTCCAGTCGCATGCCGAGTTCAAGGACTGGTTTTGTAATCCCATTTCCGGGATTGTGGAGGGAGGGGGGGCGGGCGGAGCAGCAGGAGGGGCAGCTCAGGGGGCGGCCACAGGGGAGGCAGGAGGTACGGCGGCTGCTGCTGCTGCTGGTGGCGGTGCTGTGGTTGTGGCATCAGCAGGAGCAGCAGCCGGAGCAGCAGGAGGAGCGGCGGCAGCAGGAGCAGCGGCAGACACAGGCATGGCAGGGAACCCTGAGGTGATCGACCGATTACACAACGTGCTGCGGCCGTTCCTGCTGCGCCGCCTCAAATGCGACGTGGAGCGCTCCCTCCCGCCGAAGTACGAGCACGTGGTCACGTGCCGGCTCTCCCGGCGCCAGCGGCAACTATATGAAGAGTTTATGGCCCGGTCTGACACGCAGGCGACTCTCGCGAGCGGGAATTTCCTAGGGTTGATCAACGTGCTGATGCAGCTGCGGAAGGTGTGTAACCACCCGGATTTGTTCGAAGGCCGGCCGATTATTTCGTCGTTTGATATGAGCCCGCCGCTGGTGCTGCCGCTGCCGTCGCTGGTGGTCGGGGTGGGTGCAGGAGGGAGTGGAGTCGGGAGGGCGATGCTTGGGGCTGCTGCGTTGGGGGCGAGAGGAGGCGGGGAGAGGTGGGGGGTGGTGGATAGCTGGTGGGTGGGCGGGGAGGGGATGGGAAGGAGGAGTGCGCTGGATTGGACAGGGTGGGATGGTGCAGAGGACGAGGATGAGGAAGAGTTGGATGGGGTGTTGGAAGAAGGGAGGGGCACGGAAGGGAGGATTTTAGGTTCTGGAAAATGGGGAAGAGGTGAGGGTAGGAGGTGGAGAGGTTGGGGGAGTTTGGGGTCCGGGCAGTGGAGGGGAGGAGGAGGAGCAGTGGGATATGAAGAGTTGAAGTGCTTGGGTTTGGTGCGGTCGGTGTGGGATAGCAGTATGGCGATGTGGGAGGCGGAGGAGGTAGCGAGGCTTGCTGCTCCTCCTGTTCTTATCGAGGAGATTGGGATGAGGATGGTGAGAAGGGAGGAAGAGGAGGAGATGGAGCAGGACGAGGAGGATATGACAACGCTGCTGGTAGCAGCTGCTGGTGAGGAGGAGGGCGAAGAGGGAGAGGAGGAGGAGGAGGAGGAGGAGGAGGATGATGAGGAGGAGGAAGGGGAGGTGCGAAGTGGGGACGAGGAAGAGGAGGATGGAGGGGATAGTGTAGCGAGTGACGACGAGAGGGAGAGTGGGGATGAGATGGAGATTGATGGAGGAAGGTGGCGGGATGGCGGAGGGGATGGTGGTAACGCAGGGAAGAACTGTAAGAAGAGAAGGAGCTTGGACGCTGGAGGACACAGGGAGGGCAAGGGCCGGAAAGGGCCAGGCAGCAACAGAAGCCGCCGAAAGGGCAGCAGCGGTGGGGGTAACGAGGACGGGGGGAGGGCGGGGAAAGGCAGAGGGAGGGTGCGAAAGCTGATGGGGTTACTAGAAGAAGTACAAGCGCGGGTGCAGACAAGGAAGAGGCAGTGGCAGAAAGAAGCCCTTGCTCTCACCGCTGCTCTCAGCTTCGCCCGCTGCCGCCACCAACGCCCTGTCTTTGGCTCAGATGCAATCAGCCTGCTCTCGCTCCCGCACCCCACCCGCCACTCCCATGCGCTGGCTGCTAACCCTAATTCTGCTCTCTCCCAGCCGTCCTGTCTCACTCAATACTCCTCCCTGCTCACCCGCCCTCTCGTTGCACTCGTCTCGCCTCTCGAACCTTCCGGGAGCGGTCAAGGTGAAGGGGGAACGCAGGACCTGTTGCAGCCACAACCGCCAGCATCCACCCACCCCTCCCCTTCCACACCCTCCTCCTCCGAGTCACTCCTCTCCCCTTCAACCTCCCAACGCACACCGCCACTCATCCTCTCCCCTCTCCAGCGATGCGAGGATCTAACCACCACAATCTCCACTTTCGTATTCGCCATCCCGCCGGCCCGTGCCGTGCCCCCCTCCTTCACCTGCTCCCACACCCTCCCTTGGCTCGAAACCTCCCGAGCACAAACGGAACAAAATCTCGACCGTTCCCTCCGCCCACTCCTCGCCCCACTCCGCACGGCCTTCATCCGGCGACAACTCTTCTTCCCAGACCGTCGCCTCATCCAATTCGACTGCGGGAAGCTGCAGGAGCTCGCAGTTCTCCTGCGGAGGCTGAAGCTCGGAGGGCACCGCACCCTCATCTTCACCCAGATGACCCGCATGCTGGATGTCGTAGAGGCGTTTCTGGCTTTACACGGGCATACGTACATGAGACTGGATGGGGCGACGGGGCCGGAGCAGCGGCAGATTCTGATGCAGAGGTTTAACACGGATCCGAAGATCTTTGCGTTCATTCTGTCCACGCGGTCGGGCGGTGTGGGGATCAACCTGGTGGGAGCTGACACGGTGATCTTCTACGACAGTGACTGGAACCCGGCCATGGACCAACAGGCTCAGGTGCGTGCGTGCGTGCGTGTGTGTGTGTGATGCAATGCCATACATGCATACAATGAGTTTGCTTTCATGAGTTGCCTCAAGTACATGGTTGGTCAGGCAGCATCAACCTGGTGGGAGCGGATTCTGTGATCTTCTATGACAGTGACTGGAACCCGGCCATGGTCCAACAGGCACAGGTGCGTGCGTCCGTGTGTGTGCATGTGTATGGGGCACAGTTGGCTTTCATGATTCGCCTCAAGTACAGGGTGCGGTGAAGTATGGCTAACCTGGTGGGAGCTGACACTCTGATATTCTATGACAGTGACTGGAACCCGCCCATGGACCAGCAGGTACAGGTGCGGTGAATTCGTGCATTGACGGAGTCTATTTTTCAGGCAACTAAAACAGAATGTTTTACCTATCCTATCCATGGTGAGTGACCAAAATCCTTTCGGCCATGCAGCAGGAAGCTCAGGACCACAGGTGCAAGTGTTGGTGGAGTCACTGGAGTGTGATGTTATGTGCATATCACAATCACATCTTATGTGGCGCCGCAAAACTGAAAAATCTACCCCTGCCCTCTCCCCTCTCTCCCACCCCTCTCCCGCACCCTGCGCCCCTCTTTGCGGCCGCATCCATCCAGGATCGGTGTCACCGCATAGGGCAGACGCGTGACGTGCACATATACCGGCTTATAACGGAGAGCACTATAGAGGAGAATATTTTGAAGAAGGCAAACCAGAAGCGGCTGTTGGACGATCTGGTGATCCAGAGCGGTGGATACACCACTGACTTCTTTAAACGCGTTGATCCCATGGAGCTGCTGGAAGGCATTCCCACTCCTGCTGCTGCTGCTGCTGCTGCTGGTGCTGCTTCCGGTGCCGGTGCTGGTGGTGCTGGTGCTGCGGCTGGTGCTGGTGCTGCGGCTGGTGCTGGTGGTGGTGGTGCTGCTGTCGCTTCTTCTAGTGCAGCTGCTGCTGCTGCTGCTCCTTCGCCAGCACTGAGAGATATGGAGGCAGCACTGAGGGATGTGGAGGATGAGGCTGATGTGCTGGCGCGCAGGCAGGAGGAAGAGGAGGCGGCTGCTGAAATGAGGGAGTTTGCTGATGAAGGACCGGTGGGGGGCGCTGGGGAGGAGGAGGAGGAGATGGAGGAGGAGGGGGACGGGGAAGGGGAGAAAGAGAGGGGTAAGAAGGAGGGGGAGAGGGATGTGGGGGATGAGGAGCGGGTGGATGGAGGTGAGGGGCTGGGTGGAGGGGGAGCAGAGGTGATCGGGAAGGAGGGTGGGAAGGAAGGGAAGGAAGGAGTAGAGGATAAACCTGCAGTGGAGGAGGCAGCAGCAGGAGTAGAAGCAGCAGCAGGAGGAGAAGGAATAGGAGCTGGAGGAGGAGGAGGAGAGGGGGAGGGAGGAGCAGGAGCGGTAGTGGAAGGTGCGAAGGAAGTAAAGGAGTGGGAAGGGTTGGGCGCAGCAGGGATGGGGCTGGGCGAGGAGGAGGAGGAGATGGATATGATAGCGGACGTGAGGCAGATGGCAGCAGCTGCTGCAGCAGCAGGCACGCAAGGCAGCAACTTTGGCAGTCAGCTGCAGCCCATTGAAAGGTGCGTGGGCGTGGTCAGTGGTCAGGTCACTGAATTCTGAGTTGTTCTGGTTGATTCTTAAGTTGCCCATGACAGTCAACTGTAGCTCCCCACCCCACCCCCGCTCCTCATCCCCTGTCCCCCACACCCTCTTCCTCATCCCCTGTCCTCCACCTGCGGCCCCAACCCCCATCATCCTCCCCACCCCACCTCTCTCAGGTATGCCAAGCAGCAGGACCTGGTTGTGGACAAGCAGGAAGTTGCTTTGCTATTATTGCTGCCTGCTCTACCCCGCCCCTCTGTTGTCTCCTTGCATTAACTTACTCCACTCCACACGCACCCACGCTCCCCTCCCCCCACCTGCGGCAGGTACGCGATGCGGTTCTACGAGCTGTGGGACCCGGTGGTGGACAAGCAGGAGGTGGAGAGCGAGGAGGAGGAGGTGGAGGAGGAGGAGTGGGAGCTGGAGCAGCTGCAGCGGCTGAAGGAGGAGCAGGAGGCGGAGATGGATGACGATGAGGAGCCTCTGCAGTACTCTGGTGGGTTGGATTGCAAGAGTGTGGGGGTGGGAAGGTTGGTGTTGCAAGGGCTGTTGGTGGGAAGAAAGGGGTTGATTGAAGGGTTGTGGGGAAGGGCTGGGGTAGAAGGGTGCTGCACACGCACACTGCTGGATGAAGGTGTGGACTGGGCTGCTAGATTTGGGCTGGGGTGGAAGTGCTTTTGGGTGGGAGCTGGAGCAGCTGCAGCGGTTGAAGGAGGAGCAGGAGGCGGAGATGGATGACGATGAGGAGCCTCTGCAGTACTCTGGTGGGTGGGGGACTGGGGGTGGATGGGCCGGGTGGGAAACGCTAAAAATAAAATGCAGACGCATAGTGCTGTACAGGGTTTTTGTTTGGTGTGTACAAATACAAGTGTATGTCGCAACTGAGCTGAATGAATCCGTGGTCTTTGTGGGTTCAGCAGTTTCTCTCACTCTATGTTTGCCCAATATAGTAAAGAACATATATAGTAAAGAACAATCGACAACGGTGGATTTCAACACAGATTATACTTCCCTCCCCTGTTCGTCCGTTTTCTTCTCCTCTCTGCCTGCCGTCTCCTGCTCCCCCCCCCTACTCTCCTCCTCCTCCCTCCCCCTACTCTCCTCCTCCCTCCCCCTACTCTCCTCCTCCCTCCCCCTACTCTCCTCCTCCCTCCCCCTACTCTCCTCCTCCCTCCTGGCCTCACCCTGACCACCAGTTTGGGACGTTGAAAATGCAGATGAAGCATATCGGCAGCAAGTGGAAGCTCTGTCACACCAGCAGGTACGCCTCCCTACACATGCATGTGCACACACACTCATTCATACGCACATGCACACATACACATTCATACGCACATGCACACACACACATGCATACGCACATGCACACGCACACATGCATACGCACATGCACACACACACATGCATCCGCAATCCCTCTCTCCCTATCAAGTTGAACCTTCGCAATCCCTCTCTCCCGTGAAGAACCCTCTCCTCTCGCCTCACGATTCCTTCCTTCCTCCTCTCTCGGAGACCACAGCCCATGAGGAGAGCACTGCCCGTGAGGGGCATGAGGAGGAGGACAGCATCTTTGTCAACAGCAGAAAGTAGCCGATGGGCTGTGTGCGCCTCACTAGTACTGCTGTTGACAAAAATGCTGTCCTCCTCCTTATGCCCCTCATGGGCTGTGCTCCCCTCATGGGCTGTGCTCCCCTCATGGGCTGTGCTCCCCTCGTGGGCTGTGCTCCCCTCGTCAGAACCCCTTCCTTTTTCCTCTCTCCTCACAATCTCTCTCCTCCTCTCCCCTCCTCACCATCCGTCTCTCCGATCTACCCCCTGAATCACTCGTCCCACACAGGAGGTACTGCGGCAGCAGGAGTGGGAGGAGTGGGAGAGGCAGGTGGCTGCTGCAGAGGCGCGAACAGAGGTTGTTGCGCGGAAGAGGAGGCGGAAGGAGGAGAGAGATGCGAGGAGAAGAAAGGGACGCTGGCCGTCTTTGAACGGCAGGAGGGTTGGGGTGGTGATGCTGGAAGGAATTGGTGAAGAGGGGGAGGAAGAGGAGGGGGAGATATTGGAGCTTGAGGGTGGGGAAGGAGAGGAGGAGGAGGAGGGAATGAGTGACGACGAGGAAACGGAGGAGGAAAGCAGTGAGGAGGGTGAGGAAGAGGGGGAGGGTGGAGCAGAGAGAAGGGCGCTTCGTATGCGAGCACACGAGGAGAGGAGCCTAAGGAAGAGACAGAGGAAGGCGGAGAGAGAGGCGGGGCGAGGAGAGATGGTACCTCTCAGGGTTCCCTCAGGGAGAATGAGGCGGTTGCCTCGGCTGCTGGAGGAAGAAATACTAGCGGAGCTGCACTTAAAGAGGATAAAGAGGAGCAAGGCTAAGGCTCCAGGGGAGTGGCGTGGGGACGGTGAGAGGAGAGTGGGCTTTAGAGACGAGGGTGAGAGGAGTGGAGGGAGCGAGGAGGAGGAGAGCGAGGAGGAAGAGGATGAGGAAGGGGGGGAGGAGCAAGGGGAAGAAAGGGGAGGAGAGGGGGGAGCAGAGCCAGGGAAGGGCAAAAGTGGGAAGCAGGTCGGAGGTAAGGCTGTGGAGCAGGCAAGGAGGAGAGAAGAGGCGCAGCTGGTGCGGTGGAGGGAGAGGCAGATGCGCATGGGGCGCATTGTTATACAGCCAAAGGACTTGCAGGAGGATCCCAGGCTGCCTCTTGTCATCCGCGTGCCACCGCTTTCTGCTTTCACTGCTCTTTCCAGTGCTCTCTATGGTGTTCCCCTTGCTAGCCCCTATGGTGTTCTTTATGGTGGTCCCTATTCTTCTGGAGCTTCAGCAGCAATGCCACTACCACCAAGACAACCACCCCAACCACCTGCAGCAGCAGCAGTAGCAGCCACAGCGGTGGAGGCAGCAGCAGCTGAATCAACCCATGCCCCTCTCCTTGCAATCACCCGCACCATCCCAACCTCTCTCCTACCCTGGCAGCCCCACGAAGACGCCACTCTAATAGCTGCTCTCTCCCACTACGGCACTAGCAGCTGGCCTCTTATCACTCACATCCTCTCAACGCTCCCGGACGGGACAGCCAGGCAGAGGGGTGCAGTGAGGGGGTTGTGGGAGTGCATGCAACGATTGTTCTCGCTTTTAGATGCGCTGAGTTGGTGGCAGGGATTGGGGCCGAGGGGGACGCGTGGAGGGATGGTGGAGTTGTTGAGGGGAGGGGGGGCGTGGAGGGACGGGGGTGAGTTGGGGGGAGGAGGGGATGGGGAGGTGTGGAGTGGTGGAGAGGGGTGGAGGAATGTGGTGCAAGAGGGGAAGGCAAAAGATGTTTTGGTGCCCAAGGTGGGTGTGTTGTGACGGCGTGTGTCGCAGTTACTTTCGGTCGTTGATGGCATGTGTGCATGCGTGTGTGCATGTCTGCATGTGTGCATGTGTGCATGCATGCATGCATGCATGCTTGCATTGCATGTGTGCATGTTGGCAAGTGTGCAGCGCATGTGCGTATGGGTACATGTGTGCGCTCATGTGCGTGCATCCATGTGTATGCATGTGTGCATGTGTATGCATACATGCATGCACTCGCATCGCATCGCACGTGCCATGTGCATTTGTCGGCACCTCATGTGGATAGGTGCGTTTGACCATGTGCATCTGCTATCGTCTGCACCTTACGCGCTCCTCTTCATCTTCTCCCACCGTTACCATTCCTCTTCCATCCTCTTTTCCCCATCTGACCTTCTTCTCCCTTTTCCCCTTCTGGGCACCCACCCCCTTCCCCTTTTTCCCTTCTCCCTCCCACACAAACCCCCCCGACACCCCCTCCAGTCTCAACTGTCGCAACTCTCGCTCCTCCTCAGCCCACTTCCGGACCACAGCTCTCAGCAACCCTCCCGAGCAACAGCCTTCATTGCTCGCTTATACACCCAGCCCACTGCAACCAGTCCTCTTCCCACACTCATTCCCTCCACATCCCCACTCACAACAATGCGAGAGGGAGCCATAGAACAGGGTGCAGCAGGGGCAGGCGGGAAGGAGCAGACAACAGCAGATGAAGTGACAGCAGCAGGAGGAGTGCCTTTGCAATCGTCACAGCCGCAGCCCCTCTCCCCCTCTCCCTCCTCTTCCGCTCGCTCCTCTTCCTCTTCTCTATTGTTCGTTTCACTCAACCCTGTGGTTTTGGCCAGTGGTGGTGGTGGGAGTTCCTATGAGTGGCTTGAGTGGGGAGACAGGAATGAGGCGAAGGGGTGGGAGAATGAGGGCGGAACGACTGGTGTAGAGCCAGAAGAGAGAAGGATTTATGAAGTCGGATTGGCTGCAGGGGGAGGGGACGAGGTAGGGGAAAGGGGAGGGGGTGGGGGAAGAAAACGGGAAGGGGGAGGGGAAAGGGGAGAGGGACGGGAAGGGGGAGAGGGGGAGGGAGGGGGCGATCAAGGTGCTCTTACAGTTGGCAGACAGGTGTCTCTTCACGATAGGCTGCTGCAGAGGCTAGTGCGGTCAGGTGCGGTGGTGATGGGGAATGGAGGAGCTGCAGGGAAGGCAGCAGAGGATGCACGGAGAGTGATGAATAGAGTTTGGGAGGAGCAGAAGGAGGAGAAGGAGCGGGAGAGGGAGAGGAGGGAAACGGAAAGGGTAATGAGGAAGAGGAGGAGAGAGGAGGAGCTGTGGGAGGGGCAGAGATGGAGGAGAAGAGTAGGTGGGACGGATGGGGATGGGGATGTTGAGATGGATGACACAAATCATCTGGCTGAGAGTGAGGAGGAGAGTATGAGTGTTGATTTCAACGTCATGGCGTTCTTGTCAGTTGATCTAGATGCTTCTGCTGGTTCTGGTGCTGATCCTGGTGCTGGTGCTAATGCTGGTGGTGATGCCAATGCTGGTGCCGGTGCTGGTGCTGACGGTGCTGCTGCTGACAGTGGTGGCGATGGTGGCGATGGTGGTGCTGATGCTGATGTTCATTCTGATGCTGATGCTGATGTTGGTAGTCGTGCTGCGGATGTGAGGCTCATCGGTGATACAATGGACTCTTGTCACCCCCCATGGTATGTATCAAGGCATGCGGCATGCCTCACTTGCTCGTATGTACGCGTGCTGCGTGCATGCCCCACCACCCGTTTGCTCTGTATTCTTCATTCTACATGTACCCGTGCTCTTGTGCGCGGAGCTCTTTCACCCTGCACCACTGCTCCATCTACTCAGTTCACAGTATCACATGCTGTCCCCGTTTCTCATGCGCCCCCAACCTCCCCCTCCCCCTCCCCCTCCCCCTCCCCCTCCCCCTCCCCCTCCCCCTCCCCCTCCCCCTCCCCCTCCCCCTCCCCCTCCCCCTCCCCCTCCCCCTCCCCCTCCCCCTCCCCCTCCCCCTCCCCCTCCCCCTCCCCCTCCCCCTCCCCCTCCCCCTCCCCCTCCCCCTCCCCCTCCCCCTCCCCCTCCCCCTCCCCCTCCCCCTCCCCCTCCCCCTCCCCCTCCCCCTCCCCCTCCCCCTCCCCCTCCCCCTCCCCCTCCCCCTCCCCCTCCCCCTCTTCCCCGGGTGGGCCTGTTCCCCCCTGCCCCCCCCTTCCACCTGTCTGTCATCCCAGGTTCCTCTCTCCGTCCCATCTCACGCTCTGGGCGACCTCTGCTCTTGCAGTCGAGCTGCCTTCCGTGCTTCTTCTCCCTTCTCTGATCACAAGCGCTCCCCTTCTCATGTGTCCCTCAACCTCCCCCCCCCCTGCCCCCCCGCCTTGCCACCTGCCTGTCATCCCATCCCAGGTTCCTCTCTCCGTCCCATCTCGCGCTCTGGGCGAGCTCTGCTCTTGCAGTCGAGCTGCCTTCCGTGATTCTTCTCCCCGACGCCCAGCCTGCACCAACCACCCTCCCTACTTTGTCTGAAACAAGGGAACCTCAAGCTTCACAGGGAGAGGGGAAGCAGGTGCTACAGCAAAAAGCACTTCCCACCACCACCAACGCCACCACCGCAACTGCCCTCCGCCATGCCTCCTCACCCGCAACCAACAAGCCTACCTTGCTTGCTCTCCCTGCTTTCACCGCCCCAGCTGCTGCATCCCCTTCCCCGTCCCCATCCCCTTCGCCACATCCCATCCACGCCTCTTCCCCTCTTGACCCAACGGCACCATTACAAGGAGCTATGTCTACTCCAAGCACTCGTAGCACTGAACCTGAAGAGGAGGAATCAGGGAGCGAGAACGAGAGAGAGGTTGAGCCTGATACTGCTGCGGCTGCCACTGGTGCTGCTGCTGCTGCTTCTTCTGTAAAGGAGATCCATCGCTTGCCGTCTCCATCGCTCCCCGGTCAAACTCCTCTGGGTCCAGTGAAGCAAGGGCTGCTAGGCAAGCAGCAGCAACGCCAGCAGCAGCTGCACCAACAGCAGCTGCTGCAGCGGCAACAGCAGCAGATCCGGGCGCAGCAACAGAAGCAACAGCAGCAGGTGCAGCAGCAGGGGCAGCAACAACAGCAGGCAGCGCAGCAGCAGCAGCAGGCAGCGCAGCAGCAGCAGCAGCAGCAGCAGCAGCAGCAGCAGCAGCAGCAGCAGCAGGTGCGTGGGAGGGGCAGGCCCCCTACACGGCCTCAGGATGTTGGGGTACGGTTGAACCAGCTGCAGCAGAGGGGCGCACAGGCAGCAGCAGTGGGCGCAGCAGCAATGGGAGCAGCGGCAGTGGGAGCAGCAAGAGGAAGTGAGAGCACAGGCGGGGCAGCAGCAGGGAGAGGCTCGGAATACAGCAGCCCGCTTTCCTCTGCTGCTGATGATGCTGATGAGGGGATGCCTCTCTCGCAGTACCACCACCCGCAACAGCAGCAGCAGCAGCAGCAGCAGCTGCAGGAACCGGTGCCGCAGCAGCAGCAGCAGCAGCAGCAGCAGCAGCAGCAGTTTCGAAAGCAGCAGCCGTTCCCGTCCATTAGACCCCCCTCTTCTCCAACTCCTCCCCATGCATCGGTGCCTTCGGCCTTAGCAGCAGGAGCAACCGAGACAGCAGGAACAGCAGCAGGAGCAGCAGCAGGGGCGGGAGGGAGAGGGGGAGGAGGAGGTAGGGGTTCCAAGGGAGCAGGAAGAGGCGTGGGGAGAGGCGGGGGGAAAGCACGGGGTGGGCTGGGAGAGGGAGGGGCTGGGGCTGGGGCTGTAGGGGTCACTGGGGGGGGCGGGGGCGGAGGAATGGGGCGAGTGGGAGTGGGGAGAGGTGTGGGGCGGTTAGTGGAGGGAGGAATAGGTGGGGAGGCAGTAGGTGGGGCAGGCAGGGGAGTGGCGCGAGGAGGGGGACGGGGAGGAAGAGGTGAGGGGAGGGGAGTGGGGCGAGGAGTGGGACGAGGAGGACGAGGAGAGGGAAGAGGCCCACCAGGGAGAGGGAGTGTGGGGGGAGGGGACGTGGCAGGTTCTGTAGGGGCGGCTGCTGCTGTAGACAGTGCGAGAGGGAGGACAGGAGGGGCAGAGGGGATTGTGAGCACAACCCTTGAGAAGAGGAGTGAGGTAGACGTCGGAACGGCCGTTTCTATGACAACAACAGCAGCCGCTGCTCCTGCTGCAATGGGTTCTGCGAGTGCTGCTGCTGCTGCTGGTGTTGCTGGTGGGGCTGCTGGTGGGTTTGTTTGCGCAACTGGTAGTGGTCTTGGCAATACAGCTTTAGGCGGATCGATTGGTGGGCCAGGCAGGGGGAGAGCAAGTACTGTAGGAGTAGCAGGAGCAGGCGCAGCAGGAGCAGCAGGAGCATCAGGTGGGGAAGGGAGGGGTGGGAGAGGACGTGGGGGAAGGGGCGTAGGCAGAGAGGGCATGGGGAGAGGCAGGGAGGGCGTGGGAAGAGGCAGGGCAGGGGCAGGAAGAGGCAGAGGAGGAGTGGGTGTGGGTGCGAGAGGGGCGGGGGGTATGGGAGTGGGTCGGGCACCTGTAGCAGACTTGAATGCTAGTCCGTCTGATGCTGCTTTGGATGTGGAGCAGAATATGCAGCCACAGATGCAGCCGCAGCAGCAGCAGCAGCAGCAGCAGATGCAGCAGCAAAGGAGTGAGCAGCAAGGAGGGGTAGGAGGAGGGCAAGGGAATCAAGCCCAGCAAGGCGTGCAGCAGAGCCAGCATGGAGGAGGAGTGAGCAGGCTGTGGTTGGTGGAATCCGGAGGGAGCGGTGACAAGAACGACAGCAACAGCCCCACCACCACCACCGCTACCACTACCAACGAGAACGTCAGCGGTGGTGGCACCGGTGGCATTGGCGGTAGCAGCAGCAGCAACCCTCAAGGCGTTCCCAAGGCAGGGATGGAGCTGGACCTAAATTGGGCAGCAGCAGAAGATCCTGTCAGGGAAGGCATGCGAGGTAATGGGGCTGAAGCAGCAGCTGCAGCAGTGGCAGCAGCAGCAGCAGCAACTTTGTCCCGCCATCCTCTTGAGATGGACCTCAACCTCCCGGCTGATGCTGACACTCCTGCTCCTCCTCTTCCTCCTCTCCCTCTCACCGCTCCCCCTGCTGCTGTCTCCACAGCCCCACCAGCAGCAGCAGCAGCAGCAGCTTCTGTCCCCCTCCACCCCTCAGCACCTCTTCTCCACCCTCCCAACCCCCGGGACCCGCGCCGTTTCGCTCGCCTTGCCAACACTGCCACGGTTCCTGCATCAGGGCCTGCAACTGCTGCAACGGCTGGAGCAATAAAGAGCGGCGCAGCCTTACGACTACCCCTCTCCTCCCCCTCCTCCTCTCTCCCCCTTGCACCTGCCGCCATGCTTCCCTCCCGCCCTTCCCACTCCTCCCACCCATCCCAGCCCTCTGCTCCAGCCCACGCCTCTCAGCCGCAGCTTGCAGGGTTAGGTGCGCGTTTGGGGGCTGTTATGGCCGCTACAGGAATCGGTGGGGGGGCACAAGGGGCGGGGGGGGCACAGGGAGGTGGGGAGGCGAGGGGGGTTGGGAGAGCAGAGGGCAGGGGTCCTCCTGGGATTACGATGGCGGGAAATACCGGTAGTGGTGGTGGTGGTGGTGGTGGTGCCAGTGGTGGTGGGAGTGGTGGTGGTAGTGGCAGCGGGGGTGGCAGTGGTACTGCTGTGCCCAGGCTGCTCTCCTTACCATCAACTCTGTTTCGCATGGCACCTACTAGTACTACTGGTTCTGGTATGCCTGAAGGGGTGGGTGGAGGGCGGGGGAGTGGAGGAGGCGGCGGAGGAGGAGGCAGAGGTGGGGGAGGAGGTGGAGGGAGAGGAGGAGGAGCAGCAGGAGGAGGGGTAATGCAGAGGGCTGCTGGTGTGGGTGGGCAACAAGGGGCAGCGCCTCCAGTGGCCCTTCAGGTGTCCCCAGGGGCACTTCAAATGCCTCAGGTGGGCCTTCAGATGCCTCGGGTGGGATTTCAGGGTGCTCAGGTGGCGAGTAGGGGTCCAGTGGCTGTGCCTGTGCAAGCTTCAGGGCAGCAGCAGAAGCAGAGTGGAGGGGGGTATGGTGGGATTGGGACAGGTGGCGGGGAGGGAGGGAGAGGGCGAGGTGGGAGGGGATCGAGGGGAGGGAGAGGAGGGAGAGGGAGAGCGATGGGTTATTCTCAGCAACGACAACAAGACACCCAGCAGCAGCAACCGCACCAACAGCAACAGCACATGCAGCAACAGCAACAGCAGCAGCAGCAGCAGCAGCAGCAGCAGCAGCAGCAGCAGCAGCAGCAGCAGCAGCAGCAGCAGCAGCAGCAGCAGCAGCAGCAGCAGCAGCAGCAGCAGCAGCAGCAGCAGCAGCAGCAGCAGCAGCAGCAGCAGCAGCAGCAGCAGCAGCAGCAGCAGCAGCAGCAGCAGCAGCAGCAGCAGCAGCAGCAGCAACAGCAACAGCAGCAGGTGCAACAACAACAGCGACAACAGCAACAGCAGCAGCACCAGCAGCAGCACCATCAGCAGCAGCAGGCGCAGCAGCAGCAGCAGCAGCAGCAGCAAGGGCTGCAGCCACCACTCCAGCGACAGCCACAGCATCAGCAGCCAAACCCTTCAGGCCAGCACATGCCCACTCCCAACCCTCACAACGCAATGCAACCAGGACTGCCCCACTCCTACGCACCACCACTTCCATCATACCACCAACCTAGCCTCGCACCATCCCAACCTGCGCGCTTCTCCCAACCCTCAACTTCGCCTGAACCTCGTCTCTTGGGCAGTTCTTTGCCGAGCCAGTCTTTGCCGAACCAGTTGCCGCAGCAACCAGCACAGCGCCTGGCACAGCAGAGCGGACAGCAATACCCGGGACAGCAGCACCCCCACGGTGCTCCAGAATCATGGCATGCGGCGCAAGCAGCGCAAGCAGTACAGGCAGCAGCAGGTATAGGTCGTGGGCGAGGTGAGGGAGGCAGGGAGGCGGCTGGAGGAGAGGGTGCTACTGGTGCTCCTGGTGCTGGGTACACTCCGCACCTCTCGTCAGGTCAGTATGGAGGGCAGTTGGAAGACAGCAACCAGTACGACAGGTGGCAGCGGTGATTTTCGTTAGAGGAACGATGTGTGAAGGAAGGATTTGTTGTGGGTGTTTTGTTCTAGGAAAGGAAGCATCTGCCTGAACTAAATTCTTGCATGATTTACGGTTGTAATGGTGAAGGCGAGCTTGGTTATATCACATGTCCTAGCAATTGTCTCGGTTGTTGGAGTTGTGTAGTTTATGGTTTTCCAAAGCATGATCATATTATGCCTAACTTACATTCGTGACACTGCAAATGGAGACCTCTTGACAGCCCTGCATATCATTAAACACATCCTTATTCCAAACCCCTGCAGGTCTTCGTAGTAGTTTGTAGCGATGCTTATTGAAAAGTGTAGTCATTTGAGTGTTCATGCCTTCAGCAGAACAGTGCGAAAACCTCGAGGGAGCAGCCAACTGAAGCAACCAAGGCGAAGCGAGGCGAGGCGAGAGAGGAGAGGACAACCATGGACCATGCAAGTCCACGTTGCGTGTATCATTTGCCCCACCGCCAACCCCTGCCTTCCAAGGCACAACGCAACTCCTGCTCATGCAACCGCACTGCACCTGCTCTCAACCCCTTCGCCTTCACCACGCCCACCCGCTTTTCTTCACAGCACTTGCTCTCTCCATGCTCTTGTGTTCTATCCTCAACAACTTGGGACTCCATACGGCTTTTTCCAGTATAGCTTGTTGCGCCGGGGTTGTGGAAGCAACAGCTAGTGTTGTTTGTTGATCATTTTCAACATCTCTTCCAGACTGGTCTGGCCTGCGCTAATCGCTCTCTGCTTCCGCGTATCGTCGCGCGGGCTGGCGTCGCACCATCATCGATACATAGTTACATCACTGCATCGTTGTATCGCAGCCTCGCTGTTTCACTTCAGATCTGAAGTGCCACACGTCTGGCTCGGCGTATCGAGTGATCGTTGCTCTCTTCGGCTCCGCTCTTCCGTGTCTGATTCGCCGTTCGTGCTATCAGCTTGAATTTACGCGAATCTTCATCCATCGTCGTCACTTCTGTCGCGGAATTTGCTTCCACCATCGCCGATCGCCTCGTCAACGTCCCCGATCGCGTCGTCCACGTCGCCGATCTCGTCGCCAGCGTCGCCGATTGCGTCGTAAGCGTCGCCGCGGTTGCAGCGGGAGATGGAGAGCCCGGAGATCGTGGCGGAATTCGTCGCCATCACTGCCCAGCCGGAACGCGTCGCGCGGCAATACCTTGAGGTGCTCCTTTCCGCTCTCTCCTTGGAAACCTTTTTGTTTTCTCGATTTCTTAAAACAAACGGCAAGCCGCAACGCATGGCGCGGAAATACGTTGAGGTGCTCCCATCACCTAGCCCTTGATGCCCTCGTCACCCCGTCCTTCTCACCCTTCTCGTCCCTCTCATCCGTCTCTCCCTTCCCTCCCCCCCTTTCCTTTCCCTCCCACTTCTCCTTTTTACAAGTACGTGTCTCATATCCCGCTCCCCGTTCCCATCGCCTCGTCTTCCCCTTCTTTAACACCCGATCCTCCTATTGCCTAGTCTTTCTTTTTTCAACTCCCTATCCTCCCATCGCCTAACGTTCTACTCCTCCCTCCTTCCATCCTCGCTCCCCAAGTCAATCCCGACCTTCGACCCCGCGTTCCCACTCTTCAGGGCATGCCCCGTGTTTCTCCGTTTCTGTTTCTCTCCCCTTACGCGCTGTCTCGCTACAGGCACATAATTGGGATCTGCAGTTAGCAGTGAATTTCTTTCTGGAGCATGGAGGGGATGAGGGTGGAGGCCTTGGGAACGGGTAAATCTCTTCGCCTTGTGGTGTCAGCCCCTTACTCTGTTACTGCTGCTCGCTTATATGGGTCGGCCATCTTATAGTTTTGTGTGTGTATGTGCGTGTGTGTGAATAGGCCTGCCGTGTAGTTATCTCACGCTTAGGGTGTTAGCACCAGTTGAATTCCACGATTTACCTGCCTGCACGTGCTGTAGCTGCGGATATGCACAGCACATGCTGTTTTATCTGCAGACATGCACATGCTTTTGAGAGTCAAAAAACAACGTGTGCATGCGAGTGCATGCATGTGCGCTTTTGTAACCTTGCTTTGCTTCCACGCGTCTGTCTTTTGTGCACGTGCAGTGCATGTTTTTTCTGCAAGCATATTATCGTCCATTCGATGTGTTCTCCAATTCACTGAGGAGCATATGGCCAGGCAGTTTGTTGAGTCAACTCATGAGCAGTTTGTTGATTCTTTCCGTACATTCAAGTCAAGTTTCTATCGAAGTCTAGTTACTGCTCATATTACATCGTCCCTCCTCTCCAACCCCCCGCCCCCTCTTCCCCGCATCTCCCTTCTTTCAGAATCACTGATGCCATCGATCTCACCAGCGAGCCGCCGCCTGCTGCGGCCACCACACGCCCTCGCAACTTCCACGGGCAGACTCTGGGTGGAGTGGAGTCGCGGGGGACAGCAGGATTAGCAGGGATAGGAGGGATGCAGCAGCAGGAGGAGCAGGCGCAGCAGGAGGAGTATGAGGGCCTGAACCCTGTGCGGCCCTTCATGACAGGCTCTGCTTTTGATCGTCTCATGCCCACCTCTCGTGCCCCTGCGACTGCTCGCGCTCCCACCTCCGCACCTATCATCTCCGAGCCTCGGGAGGTTCGGGAGATTCCGATCCAGTGGGATGATGCTGCCAGTAACGGTAACGGCAGTGCTGGCGGCAGGGGGTACATGAGTGGTGGCGGCCAGAGGGGTTTAGGAGGGGGTCAGGGTTTTGGGGAGGGTAGGGGGGCTGGTTTTGATGAGGCTTTTCACAGAGGGTATGGGAGGAGAGTTGGTTTTGGCCCGTTTGGGTTAGCGTCTCAGGAGCAAGGGCAGCAGCAGGAGCAGCAGCAGTGGAATCAGAGTGGTGGAGTGCGTATTGAGGAGGTGGAGGATGGTGATGATGGTGCTGCTGGTGGTGCCGGTGCGTGTGGTGTGGGTGCAGGTGCTGCGGGAGTAGGGCGAGGGTTAGGGGGTGTGGGTGAAGGTGTGACGGGAGGGGAGTGGGCGAGGGGGCGAGTGTTGGTTCAGGAACCAGGTGTAGGCGAAGCGACTGGAGGAGCAGGGTTGGGAGCAGCAGCAGGAGCAGGAATGGGAGCAGGAGCAGGGGGGGTGTTCGGTGGAGAGGCAGAGGAAACAGGGTTTGCTACCATGGTGAGTCTTCTAAGGGCTCGTTGGTTCCTCCTCCATGTCTCTGAAGGGCTCGTTGGTTGGTTCCTCCTTCATGTCTCTGGTTTGGATTGTGTCATGCCGCATATGGGGGCTTGTGGTGGTGCCTTGAGGGTGGCTTAGCAAGTGTACCCCCTTGATCTCACTCCGCTTCCATTCCACTTCGCTTCCTGCCTTGCGTCCGTCGTCATGTGTGTCACCATGTGTGTTACTATGTGTGTCACCGTGTGTGTCGCCATGTGTGCCGCCGTGTTGTGTATCGCCATGTGTGTTGTGTGTCGCCATGTGTGTTGTGTGTCGCCATGTGTGTTGTGTGTCGCCATGTGTGTTGTGTGTCGCCATGTGTGTTGTGTGTCGCCATGTGTGTTGTGTGTCGCCATGTGTGTTGTGTGTCGCCATGTGTGTTGTGTGTCGCCATGTGTGTTGTGTGTCGCCATGTGTGTTGTGTGTCGCCATGTGTGTTGTGTGTCGCCATGTGTGTTGTGTGTCACCATGTGTGTTGTGTGTCGCCATGTGTGTTGTGTGTCGCCATGTGTGTTGTGTGTCGCCATGTGCGTCGCCACGAGTTGAGTCGGGACGTCCCAAAACACTCCCTCAACTCAACTCACCCGCCGCCCCCATTCCCCACATCCACGCTCCAGGTCCCTGCATCAGCAGCAGCACCCATGGATGTGGATCAGGATGAGGATGACGATGTGATGCGCGCAATTGCACTCTCCATCAAGGTATGTGTATGCCCTCTGTCCTGGTAGGCGCTTGTCTTATGTTTGGAGACGTTTCAGAAGTCCCATGGATGTGGATCAGGATGAGGATGACGCTGTGATGCGCGCTATTGGCACTACCTGTCAGGGTATGATCTGCTCTCTGCCCTGGTAGGCACTTCCTTCCTTCCTTGTATCAAGCTAGGCGAGCAGTAGTTGAGAAGCAAGCTTGTGGCGAAAGAAATACAGTCTTTACGTCGATTCGTTATTTTCTGGTTAAAGCTGTGAACCTAGAGGTGTTCTCGTAGATTAAAACGGAAAATATTCTTCTGAGATGTTGCGATGCAAAGGGGAAGGATGATGATGTGATGTGATGTGATGTGATGTGATGTGATGTGATGTGATGTGATGTGATGTGATGTGATGTGATGTGATGTGATGTGATGTGATGTGATGTGGGCAACAGCACTCTTTATCAAGCTAGGCGCCCCATGCAGGCAGGCCGTTTTCTTGGTAGGCCCCGATCAAGGTAGGCAGTGGCACTCACTTGAAGAACGAAACGAGCTTAGGCAAGGAGTAGGGTTTGAGGTGTGGGGTTTAGACCTCTAAAATGGATGGCGTCTGGTTTACTCAAAGTCTCGTTTGTTCATTTCGTTTCATACATCGATTGACCTGCTTATTATATTATTCTCACACTCCATCGCGTGTCTCTCTGTCTATCCACTGCCAGATCCGTTCTGTGTTTTCTACCTTCGCGTTTTCTTCCCTTGTACCACTCCCCGCTCCCCTCCCTCCTCGCCCCTCTTTCCCTCCTGCTGCTGCACACCGCATGACCTACCGTAACAGCGTAGCTCCCGTTTCCTACTTCCCCCGCCCCCTTCCTCCCAATCTCCCTTTGTTGCAGACGGCAGAGGAGGAAGCAGCATCAAGGAATCAGTCTGCCACAGCCTCACTCCAGCCTCCGTTCACAGTACCTGAAACAGCACCCTTACCACCTGCACCACCATCAGCGGCAGCAACAGAAGTGGCAGGAAGAGGATTAGGGTTAGGAGCAGAAGCAGGAGCAGGAGCCGGAGCAGGAACAGGGGTGTTGCCTTCCTGGCCGCATGTGGCAGGATATTCAACCCAGAGCGGACGGGGCGGTGGAGGTGGTGGTGGTGGGTACGAGGAGGAAGAAGACGAGGAAGAGGAGCCGGTGCAGCCGCTCATGCGACGCCGTGTGTACCATCCTTACCACCCTGCTGACGGAGGTGGGGGAGGGGGAGGGGGAGGGGGAGGCGGAGGGGGCAGAGAGGCGAATGAAGGGCGATCAGGTTCAGCTGCTGCTGCTCCTGGTGCTGCTGCTGGTGGTGGGTTTAGCAGCGGCGTTGGGAGTGGGAGCGGGTTTGGCAGTGGCAGGGGTAAGTTCAAGTCGCAATGGCAATCCGACCAGTCCGCGTTTCACCCTGAGCTCATTCACACTCTCCCGGCAGCACCTGCAGCTGCAGAAGCAGCGAGAGCAGCTGGAGAAGCAGCAGACGCATGGCGAAGCGAGCAGTCTGGTGGGAGTTCCCGGGTTGCGGAAAGTGGAGCAGCAGCAGCAGGGGCGGAAGGGGAGGGTATGGAGGGGACAATGGCAGGAATGGTGGGTGGGGGAGATGGTGGGGCGGCTGGTGGGATGGATGCAAATGGGATGAGTCAGGAGGAGGTAGCAGCAGTGATGCGGGCGGTTGAAGAGGCCTCTGCTGCTGAAACGGCCGCTGCTGCTGCTGCCGCTGCTGCTGCCGCCGCTGCTGCTGCTGCTGGTGATGGTGATGGGGCGGATGCAGCACCCACTGCTGCGCATGATCATTTGGGGGTGAGTACATGCAAGTAGCATGTCAGCATGTCAGCGTGCCAGCATGCCACCATGTGAGTGGGCCAGAATATGCATCCAAAACCAATCCCTTGACGTTTATTTATCCCACCTTGCCCTCCATCCACATGTGTAGGTAGGGTCTGTTTGTCCCATGCAGAACAGGAAGTGGCATGTATCACAGAATATCTTGAGAGCGATCATGTTATGATTAGATGTAATTCCCCTTCCGCAACCACCACTGTGCGTCTCGTCTCATCTGAGACATCTCATAAGTCCATCTCTCCGTCATCCATACCTTCCATCCATCCCTCCCTCTACATGTGCAGGGCCTATCCCACGCAGAGCAGGAGGAGGCGCGAATCATGGAAGCAATCATGTTCGGAACCCCCCTTCCCGACCATGACCCTGCTCTTGCTGCCGCTGCTGCCGCTGGTGCTGCTGCTACTGGCGTCACAGGCACTGCCATGCCCATGCACCCATCTCTCTCCGCCTCTGCTGCTGATGCCGCCGACGCTTCTACTGCTGCAGCCGCCGCTGCTGCTGCCGGGGCACCGTACGGGTCCGCGTATCTCCCGCGTAGACCCCACTCTTGGCGGCAATATGGAGGAGGGTTGGGAGACATGGGCGCAGGAGGCTCGATGGGAGGTGTGGGTTTGGGGGGGAGATATGGGCAGGGAGGGGTTGGAGGTGGAGGGGAAGGCGGGGTTGAGGGGGAGGGGCAGGAACGGGAGGAAGGGGAGGAGGAGGATGAGGAGGGGTTGGGGCAGTGGGCGAGGGAATGGAGGAGGCAGCAGAGGCGGCAGCAGCAGCAGCAGCAGCAGGCAGCACGGCCGCCGTCGCCACGCATGCTGGAAGAGAGGCTGCTGAGGCAAGAGCAGGTGAGAGGGTGTGAGGAGAGATTGTGAGGGGAAAGGTGGGTGGGTTGTGGGGGAAATGGGTTCCCACGCATGTTGTAGAGAGGCTGCTGCGACAGGAGCAGGTGAGAGGGTAGTTGGCTAATGAGCGAGAGGTGGCATGGGGCATTGTGGGGTAGGGGGTGAGGTGAGGCGTGGGCCAGGCATGGGATGGCATGGGGTTGGGGGGTGGGTTGGCGTGGGGTGCAGTGCAAGCGAGCAAGGGAGAGTTCATGTTTGTCTCAAGAGTGGGATTTTTTTTTAAGCATGGAGGCCCGTGTTTGTCTCAGCTCAGAGTGGGCTTGAAGCATGCGCATTTCTACTCTCACCTCCACCATTCCCCACTGCCTTCCACGCCCACATGCCCCTTATTGTGCCGCCTTGCGCAATTGCTGTGAGGCAGCCCAACTGCGGAACTGTGAACGCTGCTTTCCTCATCCCCCGCTCGCTCCCCCTCCCTACTCTCTCCGTTTCCAATCTCCAACCCTCCCTCATGCCTTCTGTACCAAGAGGAAGAGTTTATAGGAGGTACGAGGGCTATCCTGTATGGCCCTATATAGTCATCGCCTGCCTTCGAACGTGCCCCCCCCCCCCCCCCCCCCCTCGCTCCCCCTCACCTGTGGTCAGGACGAGGAGTATTTCAAGTCAATGATAGCCGACCAGGAGAAGGAGTGTTTTGATAAGATGTCTTATTCGAGACATTCCCTTGTGTACCCTCCCACTTGCTGTGCCCCCGTTCTGTGAGCAGGACGAGGAGTATTTCAAGTCACTGATAGCCGACCAGGAGAAGGAGGAGGCAGCGCGAAGGAAGGAGGAGGAGGAGCGGCAGAGGCAGCAGCAGGAGGAGCAGGAGCGGCAGGACGGGTTGAGACGGCAGAGGGAGCAGGAGGAGGTGAGGGGGACGATGATGATAGTGTTTTGAGGCCTTCATGTGATGGTTTGATGGGGTGGCAAGGCTGATGGGTTGGGCTTTCACGCGCCTTTCTTCAGGCATCATTTTCAAGCTCTTCCTGTTTGTTTGGTTCCCACAGCTGCTATTTCATGCAAGCGCGCTCTCACGAGGAGGGCGCACTCTCTTCTCATTCTGCGCCCATTCACTGACCTTTTATTCATATTCGCCTGCTTTTCACCATCCTTCTCACCCACTTGCGTTCTGCAGGAGGAGCAGCGGCAGCTGGCAGCAAAAGAGGCGTCACTGCCTGTGGAGCCAGCAGCAGGGGAGGAGGGCGCAATCACTCTCATGCTGCGCCTGCCAGACGGCTCCCGCCTAAGCCGCCGCTTCCTTACTTCAGATACCTTACAGGTGAGGGGCCGAGGGCATTGCTGGTGGTTAGCGTTCAGTAGTCGGCTGGCACCTGCGGCAGTTTCCTGTCTGTAGTTGGCATGGCATGGCACTCCGTCCGTATTATACCCAAGCCGCAGATGAGTGAGGCCGTGGGCCATGGTTTGATGTTTCCTTCCTAAGCTCCTCAGGCAGCGGTACAGGTGATTGAGAGTTGGGGCTAGAGAAAAGAGGGTTTCATGAGGTGATGATGATGTGATTCTGGGACTTGTTGATTTCAAGGTGGTCTTGATGTACAATGCTGGGTAGCATAGCATCTAGCGTGGTGCTGGCTAGCTCTGTTATATTGTACCAACTAGCTTTTGTTCTGCAATGGTGCTAACCTCAAAATTATCGCTGGCTAAGTGAAGCTCTTGCTCCCCTTCATTTTGCATCTCTTTTTTTCTTTTCCCTGCCTGTTTCCCCTTGTTTCCGCTTGTCTCTTTATTTCTCTCTGTTCTCCTCCTCGGCTCAAGCAGCACAGCCTCACAATGCTTTCTCCATCATCCCTTTTCACCTTCAACCGTTTTCTTATCTCCCTCCCGCCCTCCCCCTGCCCTCCCCCGCTCTTCGTCCTCCCCGCGTCTGCCATCCATGCAGGCGCTTTTTGACTATGTGGATGTGAGCAAGCTAGTCAAGCCCAACACATACAACATCGTAAGCCTGCCTTGCATAACCTCCCATCACGGTCTGCTCTGCACTTTCTTGCGCCCGTGCGACACCATCGTAAGCCTGTCTGCTATCCGCGTTACTCCTGCGCATCTTAGGCGCCCTCATCTCCTCCCTCTACACACAGTCCCTCTCGTTACCCCCTTCAGCCGTGCCTTGTGCCCTTCCTGAAGGTGATTGTGTTGCTTATCTCTCCCATCTCTTTCCCCTTGTTCTCTCCCCCCCCCCCCCCCCCCACGACTCCTCCCTCTCCCCTCCCTGTCTCCTCCCTCGCACCTCTCTCTCTCCTCTCTCGCTCCTCCCTCTCTCATCCTCCTCTCTCCTCCCTCTCTCCTCGCTCTCTCCTTTGTCCCACTCTCCTCATTCTCCTGGGTCATACTCCCACTCTCCTCATTCTCCCTCTCTCCTGCCCGCTCCTCCCTCCTTCCTCTCTCTCTCTCTCTCTCTCTCTCGCCTTCCTCTCTCTCTCTCGCCTTCCTCTCTCGCTCCTCCCTCCCACCTGTCTCCCTGCTGCAGGCAAGGCAGTTTCCCCGGCGTGTGTTTCAGCCAGCAGAGGCGCATGCAACCCTGGCAGATCTGGGCATCACCAACAAGCAGGAAGCCTTCTACATCCAGCAGCTCTAGTTTTTTGCTGTCGCTGACTGCTGTGGCCAACTGCTTGGGCTGACTGCTGTAGCAGCTTCTGAGGCGCCTCAAAAGTCGCGACCCTGGCAGGTCTGGGCATCACCAACAAGCAGGAAGCCTTCTACATCCAGCAGCTGTAGATGACACACGGCTGTAGCAGACACTTGAATTCAACAGCTGTTGCTGATAGCTGTTGCTGACGGCTCTAGCGATAGCTTTAGCTGACGGTTATGTCCATTTGAGGAGAGCAGTGAGTGGTGAAGGGAGGAAGGGAACCAGGTGGGGTGCAGGGAGTGGGGGAAAGGTGACATGGCAACTACTGGCTTAGGGGGAGTGGGAAAGGATGCAATCGGGGGAGAGAGAAAGAGAGCGTGAGGGGTGTGTAGTGAAGGGTAGTTGGTTGTGCGAGGAAGGGGAGCATGAGGAGAATGAAAGGAAGAAACGGGCAGTTGAGGAGAAGTGAAGGGACATTTGAACGGAGAGGGGGGGAGACAGGCATCTTGTCACATTCCGTTTCTCCATGGGACACCAGATAATGTGGTTTTGTGGCTGAAAACTGGGCTATATTGCCTTAGGCATGCCTTGCCTTACTTGCCCAACTAGGTTTCTTGCCAGTTGCATGGCAGTAGTGTACTGGTTGCTGGAGTTGACTGGGTAGTTGTGCTTGTGCAACTGTGCATGCACTGCCATGTACATAGCTTCTTCTTGGCTGGAAAGGGATGCATTGGTACTGCAAAAACATATGGATTCTGGAAAATAACATATAAACTGGGCTGTATGGTACATGCGATTGTGCGTGCGTGCAAATGCAAAAATAAAGGTGTGTGTACGTAGTCAGTCACCCCCTTCGTGCGGCACGCACTTTCGTTGTTTGACCTGAGTAGGAGCTTTTAAAGCCAGGGTCTCACGTACTACAAGTGTTTTGCAGTTGACAGTGCAAGTTTGTTTGTGATTGGTTGGCGAGTTGTGAGGTTTGAAGAGGGGTGAAGCGAAGGGTACGAAACGAATCCAAATCGCTAGGTGTAGCCGAACTTCTAGGTTTGTAAATTTGGTTCAGATCCAAACCTACCGTAAAATTCCCCAGAATCGTCGAAAGTCTCAAGTACTCAAAACTTGTTGTGCAATTACTTTTGAGGCACTGACGGGGGTAGGTTTCCAACCCAACCAAAGAGAAATTCGCCTGCACTAACTAGGTAACCTAGCTTCAACTGCTTTGCGGTTGAGGGCTGCTTTGCTTACTTGAGACCCTGGCTTTAAATGGGCATGTTAGTATCGAGGAAATAATGCAGTCAGTCACCTGAGTTGCGCTTGATTGTGTTTATGTTGAGACTTGAGTTGTAGCTATTAGGTAATATTTTTTGGCCAGTGTTTTGCAATTATAATGTCAAAGACCACCTTTTTTGTGAATGATATTACACTAAAAGAAGTGCATACATTCTCAGTCGTGACTGTAGAAGACCACTGTAAGGAATTGTAATTCCTTAGGGGACATTCGGGCCTTGACATGTGACAAAAGTTAGCGTCATAATTGACTCTACTGCACTGCATCGTATTACACCAAATTTCACCCAAGCATCGAACATTGTCAACAAAAATCAAACTTTGGTATAGTTCGGTACGGAGCGGTACACTTGATTGCGATGCGAACTTCTCCGTGGCCTGGCCGCTAGAAGGGTGGGGAAACTGGTGCTGGTTAGACGAGGTGTACGCAGTTGGCTGGCGATGAAGGCGGCTGACCTGCTGGCCGGTTTCCGCTCTTTCCGGGCACACCCGGAGTTCCTGAAAACATGGAAAGGAAGGAGCGTCAGATGAAAGTGTCAAGATACTAGGAAGAGGTGGGCTTAGGAGCCAGGGCTTAGGGGCCTTGGAGGTTGAGGTTCGAGTAGTTTAGTTAGGAGAAATATCGAGAGGGGAGAGGTTTCACTAGAATGGCAAGTACATTTAGGCAAACAGCAACACAAGGAGGTGCACCACCAAACATGATGCTATGTCTACACTACAACTGCAAACTATTATATAAAATATGTAACCATATTTTGACACGCCCCCATAATTGATTGCAGGAGTAAGTGTAAAACGCCCACTCTGGTAAGTGTAAACCGCCCACGCTGGTCACCCACTCCATCCCCTCACCCTCCCCCTCCCCTTACCCCTCCCCTTCCCCCTCCCCCACACATTGCTGCAAGAGCAGCAGAGGGGGGAAGAGAGGAGAGGTGGAGGGACTGCGGCTGGGTGGTCTCACACCCGCCACCCCAGTGCCACTCCCCGGGCTCCCCCACACCCTCACACCCTCCCCCCCCAGCGGCAGCTGCAGCAGAGGGAACAAAAGGAGGAGGAGAAGGGGGGGGGGGGGGGGGGGGGGGGGCTATGCACGGCCTCCCCGGGCGCCAAAGCAGACGGCAGAGGGGGCGACGACTGCCCCCCCCTTCCAGGTCGCCCCTCCCGTCACCTCTCGAGGCGACCTGAGGGGGGTGAGCGGTGCACGTGCCCCCGGTGTGCCGCGGCTGGTGACAGGGCATGGCCGGGGCGTGGTCGGGGCCGCAAGTGGGCGGGGCCGCAGGTGGCATCGAGGCCGCGGGTGGCGACGGGGCCGAAGGAGGCGATGGGGCCGCAGGAGGCGACGGGGCCGTGGTGGGCGACGGGGCCGTAGCAAGGGGCGGCGGGGCCGCAGCGAAGGGCGGCGGGGTCGCAGTGAAGGGCGGCGAGGCCGCGACGTAGGGCGGCGGGGCCGCAAGAGTAGGGCGGCGAGGCCGCAGAGTAGGGCGGCGGGGCCGCGACGTAGGGCGGCGGGGCCGCGACAGTAGGGCGGCGGGGCCGCTACAGTAGGGCGGCGGGGCCGCGACAGCAGACAGGCGGCGAGGCCGCGACAGTAGGGCGGCGGGGCCGTGACGTAGGGCGGCGGGGCCGCGACAGTAGGGCAGCGGGGCCGCGACAGTAGGGCACACCACGGGGCATGCAGTACACTCAGTAGCAGCGGAAGCAAGAGGCCAGGAACGTACCACGCTCTGATACCATGTCAAGATACTAGGAAGAGGTGGGCTTAGGAGCCAGGGCTTAGGGGCCTTGGAGGTTGAGGTTCGAGTAGTTTAGTTAGGAGAAATATCGAGAGGGGAGAGGTTTCACTAGAATGGCAAGTACATATAGGCAAACAGCAACACAAGGAGGTACACCACCAAACATGATGCTATGTCTACACTACAACTGCAAACTATTATATAAAATATGTAACCATATTTTGACAGGAAGCAGACCTGTGAAATGTTTATGCGGTCAAGCGTTGCAAAGAAAGGCCCGGTCTCGCGCTGGGACATCGCGCAAGAGCCGCTGGTGTACAATCGGCAGATCTTGCCGAATGGAAAAAAAGCCACTCGGACGATAGGAAGCGGCGAAAGAGCTGAAATTATTGAAGCTTGGTGATTTTGTCGGTCGAGCGGAGGATGGCGCTCTCTTTTCCAAGGACGAGGAGCTGCTAACGAAGGAACTGGGTACGCGCAAGAAAACGAGAAGGGCGCTCAAAGTTTTTGCTAGCGTCCCGGAAGCCTGGAAGGCAAAGCTAATAGCGCCGATCACGGGGGAAGAATTCTTGGCGGAGTTGGCCTTCGTAAAGAAGAAGGGTTTGGTGGGAGTCTGGAAAGCAGAGAAGGTGGTGCAAGATGGCCTTGTCTGCCGCGCGTGTGACTGTTTCGCCGTGCCTCTGGTGGGGGCGGCGGAGGCAACTGCGGTTCTTGCACTGGACAAAGTGGAGCCGTTGATGGTGAGGGGAGGAAGGGTGATTGGAGCGGGTGGCATGCCTGAGGTACGGCTGCGCTGCTCGGAGCTCTGTATGGATGACCAGATCCCCCCTTTCAGACAGTTGAGGCTGCTTTTCGGCGCGCAGCAAGGGGAGATGCAGCAGCAAGAGAAATGGTCTGAGGAATGGGGGAAGGTGATTGATTGGAAGAGAGTCATCAGGGTGCGGGACTCCGCGGTGCTTCCGAACCGAGCCCGCGATGTCCTGCTTCGCTTACATTGTCGAAACCTACAGGTTGGGGTAAGGCTAAAATTCATGGAGGGGGTGGCGTGCCCGCACTGTGGTGAGGAGGAGACAGCAGAGCACTGTTTGTTCAGCTGCCCCCGGATCCAACCAGTGGTGCAGGGGCTGCTTAAGGCTCTTCGGATGATTAACCCGGGCAGGAAAATTACTTCGTTGGGGGATCTACTGTATCAGAAGAAGAGCTCGGGTTCGGGCTTCCCAGAATCTACAATCACAGCTATCGCCCTTCATAAGATTTGGGTGGAAAGGTGTGACGCGGCTTTTGAGAGAGGGAGGTTTCGGTCCAGGAGGGTGCTGCGAAGGATTGCAGCGGCTTTCTATACTCACGTGAGAATCTATCTTCGGGCGAAGAAAGGGAGTAAACGGACAGGAGTCATGCTGGGGCCGGGGCAACGTTCTATCCTGGAGCGGTTGGATCCAGACGAATTTCGTCTGGTGAGCAGAATCTGTGACAACTTGGCAAAGTCGCTTGCGTGGACCAGTGGCTTCACCTCCATCTGGGCCAACCCGCGCACGATTTTCCATCCCCCTTAAGTTGTCAGGATGGGTACGACGGTAGGCTGCTGTCTAGGCCCATCAGCTACAGTTACGACTATCAATGCTTGTATGCACTATTATAGTGAAACTTGCATTAAAAAAAAAAACGATGCGAACTTTTGTGACGCGTCAAGGCCCGACTGTACTCGCACTTTGCGAGTACATCCCGAGGGTCACGCGACGAACCTGTTTCGCCTATTTCGTCGCACCGAACCACCCCCGAGTCGGCCCCGCTCCAATTGCAACATCACCGAGGCATCCTTCGTCCGACCTCTTCGCTAAGCTAGGATCAGAGCCCAAAATAGGTTTAGGTCCGCTCTTTCAAATCAGGGTTCCAGCCCCCCCGTACTCTGACTGTTAGGGTAAAATCTTTCATACCCTGCCAAAAAAGCCTAAAAAAACCAGTACACTGATTATAAAAAGGTAAAATGTTTCTATTCGACGATTAAGCTTTGCAGTGCTATAACTCAACAGATTATCTCAGCTAGTCAGATGTAAGGCTTGAATTACGAAGGTCGCGAGTTCAGATCTGGCTGGTGCACAAAATTTGTTGCGGCTTCGCAAGGAAAACCCTCGCTACAGATGATTCGGTATCAGTGAAGTAAACAGTGCACCCTGATATCGGCAGGGTAATATAAATTGTTATCAGTGTTAATCAAAACTTAGCCTGTTTGCTCTAGGGAAAAAAATTTCGATCCTCTGTTTTTGCAAGGGTAACTGGGAAAAAGTGGCCTACCATCAGGGCAAAAAGGGTATTTTACCCTTGAAATTTGGGGCCTGGCTAGTCACTTTCCTTGTATCGTCATTTAGTGATTCTGTAGTTCAACATTCTCGTTATTCGTTTGACTGTACTGCGCACTCTGCAAGTTCATTCAAAACAACCACGTTGGGGTTCACACAAACCGCCAACCGATCGCTTTCGTGGAGAGAACGGCAGACACGTACTGGGTTCTGAAATTTGACGGTGGCTGTTGTGGTTCTCCACGCCGCTACTGGATGACGCTTGCCCCGTCATCGTCAACGTCACCTTTCCGTCAGCTCTGCCACGTCACGGAACCCAGCTTCAAGCCAACCAACCTACTCGGCACGGCAGTCAAGGAAGAGCGAACCCAACCCAAAGTGGATGGAATGCTGAGGTGGAGAACTGCACTTGTTCTTGGAAACTGGTAATTACAGCACTTCGCTGAGTTCGTGGGTGGTATTTCGCTGATTCCGTGGGGACTGGCGGTCGTCGCGAACGCCAGTCGCATTCATCTCATCCATTCGCTTTTCTGATCAGAAGCAACAAGTTATCTGCTCCACAATCGTCTCGCCGCCAGCTACTCAGGGGGATCCGAGGGAAGACTACACAGAACATCAGAGAAACAAATCCTGCAGCATTGCCCCTCAGATTCCCTTCCCAGCGCTTGTAATGCGCCATAATTGCTTCCGCTATTAAGGATCGGGGCATCCGGCACGTCGCCGCGCGTTGACGGTTCGCAATCGGACCGCGCATCTAGTCTGTTGATTAATCCGATCATCTTAACCGATCGCGATTCAGTGGCAGCGATGATCGGGCGACTGGTTCCGACGGGGAGTTCTCACGGCACGGGATCTTGCACGCTGGGATTGGTAGGTTGGGAAATCGAATTAACACTGTTAGAGGGTAGATGCACGAGCGAGCAGGGCTTTATCTTCAAAACCACTGGACCAGAACCACTCGAACCCATGATCTTCACACGATTCTTGTTCTGATACAGTGGGATCCGTACGATTGATTGTTTTAACCGCTATTCGCGTATATTTCCGTTCTATTTCTGGGGCAACGAGTGTAATACGTACAATTCGCGACACTGATCCAGCGCTGTAGACGCGTATCCGTGTGCGCATCTCCGTGTCTCACAGTCGTTCTTCACCTTCTTGCCACCCTGACTCGTAGCCTCGTCAATCCCGTGGTTTTGCGAATTATGGCGCGCTCCGTCCGTACTCACATCCACGTAACTCAAGCTTTTTCCTTCTCCATTGCGTCCTATCGAGACTGAAATCTCATCACCGTTTTACATTCCGTAGAGCTCCCTTATCACTCGCCCATTTCCCGTTTCCATCCCTCCAAACCCTCCCCTCTCTAGCAGAACTCCGCTTCTCTCTCTCCGCGTTACGCGCGCACACAGCAGATCTCGCTCACGTGTCTCTCGCCTCACGCCCTTTTTCCTTTCCCTAACCCTCCCAATTCTCTCTCCCATTGCAGCTCTCCGCCTCTCTCTCCGCGTCACGCGCGCACACAACAGATCCCGCCATGCTCGCGTGTATCTTCCCGCCTCTCCCTGCTGCTTCCCCCCTTGCCACGCCCACTGCCTCCTCCTCCTCTCCCGCCGTCGCATGCGCTTCGGCTCGAACTCCCTGCTTCATCTCCTCTCCCTCCTCGTCTCTCCCACTCTACTCGCCTTACTCACCCTACCCAACCTACTCATCTTACTCATCTTCCTCGTCCTCCTCATCCTCCTTTCCACCCACCTGCGCGTCCTTCACTTCCCCGTTTCTGCACCCGCGCCCCGCACCCTCCGGTCGCGCCTCCGCCGCTAGCATCTCAACCCCACGCAGCGCCAGCGGAGCCGTCAGTCTAAGCGGTCAATTGAGTGCCAGCTCAAACAGCAGCTCAACCGGCAGTTTAAACGGCAGTAGCTTAAGCGGCAGTCTAAGCAGCAGCCTGCATGGCAGTGTAAGCGGCAGCGGAAGCTGGTCCCGTCACAGTAGAGAAGCAGCGCGTGGGGCAAGAAGGGGAAGCGGGGACGTGGGGGATCGGCGGAGAGGATTACCTGCTACCGCCGCGTCAGCTACAGCCTTAATCTCCGCGGACGGGGGAGGCGGGGGCGGAGGCGGGGGAGGGGAAGGGGCAGGCGGGCGCTTGAAAGGCGGAGCAGCAGCAGCAGCTGTGGGGGGGAATGGGATAGGCGTGTCGTGGGCGTGGAGAGGAGGCGGGGGAGAGATGAGCGGGGAGGGCGCGGAGGCGAGAGGCGGAGCGGCGGATGGGGGAGTGGTGGGGCTGCTGCAGCAGCTGCCGCTGCGGAGGTTCCTCGTGTGGGCTTTAGTGGCCGGGCTTGTCATCCAGTTACGAGAGTTCCTGGGGGTACGTCGGGGTGGGGAAGGGGGCAGGGAGGGGGCGAGGGCAGGAGGATGTGGGAGGAGGGAGGGAGGAGAAGGGGGAGGTGTATATCATGTCATGTTTGTAGACGTGATGGGTGGATTTAAGCCAAGAGTCAAGTCAGGGGATAAGGGTTTTGCGATGGAATAGGGCTCTTTCTCCGGGTCCCTTTCAAAATTAGCTGCTTGGTTGGTTTTGGGGACCTGAGCTGATTCATTGTTTGCTGATGGGCTTGGCTGGGGACGTGGGGGGTTGCGTGTGTTATGAATGTTTCATACTGGAATATTTCCAGTTTCGGGTTGCATGTGAAGGAACGTGCGGGTGGGGCGGGATTGTTGGCAGGCATGAGGAGGGTATGGGCTGGGCTGGTATGCAGCCGCCCACTCAATGTGGGCGCTTCTTGAAATTTCTCAAACAAAACATCGCCTACAAAGAGAATGAGGAGGGTGAAGGCTGGTAAATAATCACCTGTGCGAAGTAGGCTTTTTTTTCCAAGGATTAATAAGAAAACACTTACGACAGACGAGGTTGAGGGGAAGCATATGGTCGAGGGTGGATGTGATGGGAGAGGCTGGGAAACGGCAGGCAACACGAACAACTCCTTTGAACCCTTTATGAACCCTGATATCATCCGTAGCAAGGTGTGGCGGCGTGCGTAACTTCTTATTGCTCTCAACGTTCAAGCTAGCATCAGCGCCCCTCCTTCCCTCCCCCTCTCCCCGCTCTCTCTTTCTCACTCTCTCCCTCTCAGCAGTGTTCTGTCGTTCTTCACCTGCCTTTGCTTTCTCCGCCCTCCCCCCCTCCCCTCTCCTACCTTACCCTACTCTCCCCTCCCCTCCATTCCCCTTTCTCCCCCCCCCCCCCTTCTCTCCCTTCCTCTCCCCTCCTCTCCCCTCCTCTCTTCTTCTCTCCCCTCCTCTCCCCTCCTCTCCCCTCCTCTCTTCTCCTCTCCCCTCCTCTCCCCTCCTCTCCCCTCCTCTCCCCTCCTCGCCCTCCCGGTCCATCCATTCTTCCCATCACACCAGATAATGATGGGCACATACGTGCTCAGCGTGGTGGCGAATGCAGCAGTGGAGGGAGCGCAGAGGGTGCTGCCAGCCAAGCGGCGCCTGCTAGTGGCGCTGCTCTATGCCTTCGCCCTCGCCGCCCTCCTCGCCCTCGGCTTTGCCTACCTGCCCCCGCTATACAACACCGCCACACAGCTAATTCTGAACATCCAGGTGGGTGTGGTTTAATGCGGTGTGGTGCAGTGCGGTGGGATGGAGTGTGGTGTGGTGCTGCGCTGTTGGTGTGCGTTGTGGTGCTATGAGGTGGATGGGATGGATCGGAGGGTTTGGTCGAGCAGGGGTTGGGGTTCGGGGTTTGGGATTTGAGATTTGGTGTTGTCCCGCCTGATTTGGGTTTTTTTTTTTCGTCTGCTGCTTGACCTGACCCATGCAACTTCATGCTCCACATTCTCCCCGTTCCAATTCCAACTCTCATTTCTATGCCGCACTTGACATTTCATGATGAGAGAGGAAACAAACTCTTCATAATCCACACATATATGTGAGGAAAAATCAAAGTCAAAATCAGTTGAAGGAAAAATGGTTGCTTCATCGCAACGATTTTTAGGCCATTAAATATCCATGGAATGTTAAGCTCATCAGTAAGTTTAGGCGCACACAGCCCTGCATGGTTACACTTATTTTTCTAAAAACGTTCTGTGCAAGCCTCCTGCATCTCCTGCATCTCCCGGCTGTCCCCCTTGCCACTCACTCCCACTCTTCTTCCCTTCTATTTTCTGGATCGAGCTCGCCTTAGTTTTGCTTCCCTTTTTGCTCCCATTGCTAACAAATGCTCCTGTCTCCTCGCATCTGCTCTTGTCTGCATCTGCCGGCGTGTGTGTGCCTGTGTGTGCGTGCATGCGCGCGCGTGCGTGTGAGCCTGCGTGTGTGTGTGTGTGTGCACATGTGTGTGTCTCCATATGCATGTGCACATATGTGCGTGCATGTGTTTATCCAGGGCGAGGATGCATACTCATGGATAGCCACGCGCATGCGAGCAGAGTTCGGAGACACATTCACGGAGCAGGTGAGGGAAAGGGGGAGCGGGAGAGGGGGGAGGGAGGGAAGAAGGGAGGAAGGGAGGGAGGGGGGGGAGGGAGGGAGGGAGGGAGGGAGGGAGGAGGGAGGGAGGGAGGGAGGGAGGGAGGGAGGAGGGAGGGAGGGAGGGAGGGAGGGAGGGAGGGAGGGAGGGAGGGAGGGAGGGAGGGAGGGAGGGAGGGAGGGAGGGAGGGAGGGAGGGAGGGAGGGAGGGAGGGAGGGAGGGAGGGAGGGAGGGAGGGAGGGAGGGAGGGAGGGAGGGAGGGAGGGAGGGAGGGAGGGAGGGAGGGAGGGAGGGAGGGAGGGAGGGAGGGAGGGAGGGAGGGAGGGAGGGAGGGAGGGAGGGAGGGAGGGAGGGAGGGAGGGAGGGAGGGAGGGAGGGAGGGAGGGAGGGAGGGAGGGAGGGAGGGAGGGAGGGAGGGAGGGAGGAGGGAGGGAGGGAGGGAGGGAGGGAGGGAGGGAGGGAGGGAGGGAGGGAGGGAGGGAGGGAGGGAGGGAGGGAGGGAGGGAGGGAGGGAGGGAGGGAGGGAGGGAGTGAGGGAGTGAGGGAGTGAGGGAGTGAGGGAGGGAGGGAGGGAGGGAGGGAGGGAGGGAGGGAGGGAGGGAGGGAGGGAGGGAGGGAGGGAGGGAGGGAGGGAGGGAGGGAGGGAGGGAGGGATGAGGTGGTGAGTGATGGATATTCACATCCATCATTGCTGTTATGCACGATCCCCTTGACGCTTTTTCTGCTGCTTTTAAAGATGCTCGCTCTGATTTACTCTCATACGGTCCTTCTACTCCCTCTTGTTTTCAACCCCATTCTCCCCCCTTTCCCCCTCCCACAAACCACCCGCCTCCCCCTCCCACCACGCTCCCTCGTCCCCGTGTGTGTGGTGGGCAGTTGGAGCGCTACATGCTGCTCATGATGTCCCCGCCAACCACCCAAGGCATCATGGTATGTCACCTACAACAGCCCTGAGGTAAAATTCTGTGAGAATGTGAACAGAAAGAGTCGAGTATGGTGCAGCTAGAGCGCTATATGCTGCTCATTATGTCCCCGCCAACAACCCGGGGCATCATGGTATGACACCTACACATGCCCTGCCCCATGCCGCCCACCCTGCCCTATGCCGCCCTGCCCTATGTTGCCCTGCCCTATGCCGCCCTGCCTCATGCCGCCCGCCCTGCCCCCTGCCGCCCTGCTCATTCACGCCCTGATCCATTCTGCTCGTACTATCCCTCCCCACCATGCTGTTTTTTTCAAATCGCACTCCCTTCACCCCCAACTCAAACCCTTTTCAAGCCCAAAACTTGGTCAATACCCCACATCGTTCAATGAAGGGAAAGGGTTGGAAGGAAGGGGGTGCGTGAGGGCACCATGATTCCACTCCCCTCAACTCCACTGCACTGCATGGTTTTCTGCACACCCAACCGTTTCCTTCCACTGCACTGCATGGTTCCCTGCACTCCACCCCCACCACCACCACCACCCCCACCCCCACCACCACCACCACCACCACCACCACCACCACCACCACCACCCCCACCCCCACCACCACCCCCACCACTACCACCTGTCAGGGTGCGGGGGGCGTGGCGATGGCAGCGCACCCGTCAGCGGCGCTGAGGCAGGTGTTCAAGAAGTATGCCGGCAGCATGCTCTCTCTGCTTGCCACCGCCTTTGCTGCCACTGGCCGCTTCCTGCTCAAGGTGCTCCTCTCCTCTCTGCCCTCTTGATGCCTACTCTGCTATCCACTTTCCAGGTGCCTTATCTGTTGTCTGGGTGCCATGTATGTGATATCACATACCTGCTGTCTACTCATTCTGTCCACATACACTTTAGTACTCTCTAAATGTGAGCCACTTTAGGGAGCTCTCAAACGTGACTTGGTTTCCCCCTATTTATCCGTTGGCCACACTCCGGCTCCCCCCCGGGCCCCCTTGGTTTCCCCCCTCCCCCCCCACCGCTTCATGCACAGTCGCTCGTGAGCCTTATTCTGTCGGCCATGATCGTGTGGGGACCTGCCCTCCCTCGCTCGTAGCATGCAGTTTCCGCCCCGTGAAGGCCACGAATCCCACCACCCTCCCCCACCCTCCTTCACCACCGAACCTACCCCCACCCACACCACGCCCTCCCCCGCTGTCCCCCCTTTGCCTTCCTTAATCCCCAACCCCTCACCCCACGCCCTCCTTAGAGCAGTCGCTCGTGAGTCTTATCCTGTCGACCATGATCGTGTGGGACAGTGGGACCTGCCCCCCCTCGCCCACGTGTGGGATCTGAACCCTTGTCTCCCCTTCCCTGTCCCCAATCCCCACCCACTTCCCCATGCACAGTCGCTTGTGAGTCTCATTCTCTCGGCCATGATAGTGTGGGACCTGCCGTCCCTCGCCCGCGGCATGCAGTCGCTGCAGACGTCCCGCTTCGCCCCCATCTATGACGAGCTCGCTCCCGTGGTACGTCCTCGCTCCCTCGCTCCCAGTCTTTCTCCTTCCGTGCCGCATCGCCCCCTCCCTTCCTCCCTCCCTTCCTCCCTCCCTCCCTCCCTCCCTCCCTCCCTCCCTCCCTCCCTCCCTCCCTCCCTCCCTCCCTCCCTCCCTCCCTCCCTCCCTCCCTCCCTCCCTCCCTCCCTCCCTCCCTCCCCGCCTACCCGCTTCGCCCCTATCTATCTGCGACGAGCTCGCTCCCGTTGTAAGCACTCGCTACTTCTCTGCCTTCCGCGCTCCCTGCCTCACCCCCGCCCTTGTGCCCTTTCTCATGCGCCCGCCTGCGGTGTGCCCGCTCCGCTCCTCCCTCGCTCCACCCCTCGTCCCCCGCATCTACGACGAACTAGCTCCCGTTGTACATCCTAGCTGCCTCCCTCCCTCCCTCCCTCCCTCCCTCCCTCCCTCCCTCCCTCCCTCCCTCCCTCCCTCCCTCCCTCCCTCCCTCCCTCCCTCCCTCCCTCCCTCCCTCCCTCCCTCCCTCCTTCCCTCCCTTCCTCGCTCTTCCCTGTGGCCCCCCTCGGCATACGACGCCTTTCCTTCCTCGCACTCTAAACCCGAAACCCCCGAGGTCCCAACTCTCCGGCCCCCAACCCCTCAAACTCCTGCACACCCTGAACCCTCTCTCCTCCATTGTCTAACGTCTGGGCGCTTTTTCTGTTGAGTGGTGAAGGCGAATTTCGACTCGACTCAAAGTCCCCCCTCCGCCCTCTCCCGTTTTTCTCTCGCTCTCACCCACCTCCCCTCCAGGTGCTCACCTTCGGCCTCATCTTCTGCCAGGTTCTGAAGGTGTTTGTTTCAACTCAAAATTCACCCCTGCAGCTCTTCCCCCCTCCTACCCTCCCCACCCCCCCAACCCAGGTGCAGACCTTTGGGTGCATCTTCTGCTGTGCGCTGGAGGCGACTTTTGAGTCGACTAAAAACATTTCCTTCCTCCCTGCCTCCTCTCTCCCTTTCCTCTCCCCCCCTCCCCCCCCCTCAACCCCCTCCTCCCCCCTTCCCCCCCAACGCCAGGTGCTAACCTTTGGGCGTATCTTCTGCCGGGCTCTCGAGGCGCAGAGTCTGATAGCGGTGGTGAACACGGCGCTCACCTTCCTGGGCATGATGCTGCTCAACATCCACGGCATCCTCGTGCTCTCTGCGGTCGTCTTTGTCTTCTCCTTTGTTCCCGTCGCCGGGGTCGTCATCTCCACCGTCCCCATGGGCCTCGTCGCTCTCTCCGAGTGAGTCAGTTGAGTCTGGTTGAGTCTGGTTGAGTCTGGGGTAGACAGAGAATATTACTAGGCATCTTACAACTGCACAAACTGCACTCCTAAGGCAACCTGCTTCTATGACCCTTGCTTCGAATGGATTGTGGGTTTTCACTCCTCTGGGATGATGCATGTGCGCGTGTCTATGTATGCGCACGGCTGTTTACCCTCTCCTGACTGCATACGAGTTTGTTTATGCATGTGTGCGTGCATGAATGCATGTGGGTGTCCGTGTATCCTTGTGTGCATGCCTGTATGCATGCATTCATCCATGCATGTGTGTGTCTGTTCTTTGCCTGCCTGATTGCTTGTGAGCAGGGGCGGGGTAGTGAAGGTGGTACTGGTGGTGCTGATGGTAGTGCTCATGCATGCACTCGAAGCATACATCCTCAACCCTGCCATCTACTCCGGTGGGTGACTCTTCTTCCATCTTCCCTCTTCCTCTGCTCCCATGCTCCCATACTCTCATATTCCCATATTCCCATACTCCCATATTCCCATAGTCCCACTGCTCCTGATGTTGCCTTTCATTTACCCCACTGTCTCAAGTTTTGTCAACAACTGTTTTTGCTCATCCATGCTTGTCTATATGTCTCCCTGCATGTCTCTCTCCTCTCCTCCACCCCTCGTCACCCCATAGCACAATCGTTCACTGCCCACCCTGCTTCTCTCCTCTCCTCTCTCCGCTTCTCCATGTTCCCCTCCTCCCTCTGCCTCCCCCTGTCCCTCCTCATTTCTCTCCCCCCCTCCGTCCCTCCTCATTTCTCTCCCCCCCTCCGTCCCATCAGCCCATCTGAAGCTCCACCCCATCCTCACACTTGCAGTGCTGCTGGTAGCAGAGCACGCCATGGGCGTGTGGGGCCTACTGGTCGCCGTACCCCTTACAGTCTTCATCGTTAAGCACATCATCCACACTAATCCCCTCGCATCGTTGGACGGTCCATCCGAACCAACATCCTTATCCTCATCGTCACCATCGTTACCACCTGCATCTGCTGCTGCCAAGTCACTACCACAGCTGGAAGGCACGGCAGAGGCAGACGATACAGATTCGCCACACCATCACCCAGAAACCTGAGGTGGGTCACAGCACTGCACCTTGCTTCTGCATCCCCCATGCACAGGAATTTGGTGTGAGCTTTTTTTCGATGCCAGTTTGGATGCCGGTAAGAAAATTGCTGCAGAGCAGCAGTGGGAGAGTGCGTGTGGCATCAGCATTGTACCGAACGGGTTTTGGGGAATGCGGGTGGGTGGACCATGGTCTTTCTCTGCCTGCACTGCCTGCTGTGCTGTGCCAACCCTACATTTCTTAATGTCAATTGTGATATCAAACTCACTGGTACCTCTGGTCTGGTCTGCGTGTGCTTGTTTCAACCCACGCATTCCACCTCGATCGTTTCAACTCGCTTGTTGCACCTCGCATCGCAACCGAAGAGTTTGAGCTCTCGTAACGCCTTCTGCTCAGTCGTTTCAACTCACTTGTTTCAATTCAACCTGGTCGTTCCAACATGCTCATTCCAGCTGCTGGCTCATTCCTCCTCCAACGGACACTAAGCAATTTGCAATTGCTCTCGTACATCCCTTCTCAACCCCGACTCGTTTGTGCACATCACATTTCTTAACGGGATCTCTCTCTGCGGCTGTATGTCGTTCTGTTTGTGCAGGTGCATGCACATGCTGTCCTCCCCATGCTCACCTCTCCGTAATAGCACAATGCCGCACGTTCTTTCCCCCATTGTCATACGTGAATCACAGCAGTTCCTGAATCTGTAACCTTACATGTGCCATGAAATGCATGTATGACGGGCCTGTAGAACGAGTTGAATCCTTCTGTATTAGTACCTTAACATGGTGAATCCGTTGTCTTGATCCAGTCAGTCACAACTCTACAGGTCAGGGAAGCTGCAAATCTAGGCACCTGTTGACCTGGAGTGCGAAATCCCATGCTCCTCCAGTAACCCATGTGCGGTGTGGTGCGGTACCTACCTTAGCTTAGCTCTTCCTTATGTAGGCTGAGTGCCCCTTAGGATCTTTGTGTCAAAATGAGGAAATGATGATGCCATTGATGTTGGTTGGGGTACATATAACAAACCCTAACTTCTGTACCCCCTAAGACAAACCTCACTACAGGCTACAACATTTGACACACCCCCATAGCCTAAGTGAGGGGTGTCTAGCAAAATAAAAAAGAGTACGGTCACAAGACCAGTCCAAAAGAAAACAAAGCTCAGGGTGGATCACAACGTCACCACACTCTCTGAGCACAAGCAACAGTGGCCACAAGGCCAGTCCAAGAGATCACAAGTATATATAGCAAGAGTACAGACGAAGCAGGCAATAAACTCAAGCCTACACATGACTAGAACCTGTGTCAACAAGGCCTAACTGCACACAACACCTCTGGTGGTCACGAGGCGGAAGCGCCTTGGTGAAGATGTCTGCAGTGTTGGCCTCGGACTCCACAAACTCGAAGCGAGCCTGTCCACGTCTCTGCAACTCTCGCAGAAGAAAGTACCTGACGTGAATGTGCTTCACTCTGCTCTCCAGTCGCGGCTCACGACAGAGGAGGATCGACGCCTTGTTGTCAGTGAACAAGGTCGGTGCAGAGCTCGGCCGCTCACCAAGGTCGGCGAGCAAGAAGGTCAACCAACGCAACTCCTGTGCCGCCATGGCACCAGCGTAAATCTCAGCCTCAGTTGTAGAGGTCGAGACAGAAGAGGAGCGCGTGGAACGCCAGGAAACAGCTCCAGAACCCAGACTGAAACAGTACCCCTGAGTAGACCTGTGAGTCTCAGCGTCGTCAGCGTAAGAGGAGTCACAGTGACCAGTGAGTACGACAGACTGCTGCCCTCCAAGAACTAGCCCCACGCCTGATGTAGTCGCTAGGTACTTCGCCACCCTCACAGCTGCCGTCCAGTGAACAGGACGGTGTCTCCCTGGCGCAACAAAGCGCGCAAGGATGCTGAGAGGGAAGGCGAGGTCCGGGCGAGTACAAGTCATCAGGTACATGAGGCAACCCACAAGCTCTGCGTAGGGACCACTAGGCTCAAACGGCTCGTCAGGAAAGGGACCAGTGAGTCTGTGGTCAACAGCGAGAGGAGTGCGCTGTACGGTGGAGTGCTGAAGCCCGAACCGCTGAAGGACCTGCTGCACCATGTGTGACTGTGAGAGTGTAATGGTGCGAGCGGCTCTGTCCCTGGTGATCTGCAGGCCAAGGTAGTGGCGCAGCTCACCAAGATCAGTGCACGTGTGTCTCTTCTGCAGTTCGGACTTCACGTCTGCCAAAGCAACCCTGTCCGGAGTGGCGAAAACGAGGTCGTTGACGTAAACCAGAACAAAGAACGGTGTGGAGCCACGACGAACGAACAGCGACGGGTCGGCAGAAGACGGCTGGAACCCAAGGTCAGAGAGGGTAGAACGCAGAGTGTCGTGCCACTCACGAGGGGCCTGGCGAAGACCGTAAACAGGTCGCCTCAGCCTCCACTGGGTCCCAGGAGGGAAGGTGCCAGTGAAGGCCGAGGGACGACGCAACCAGACCTCCTCGTGTAGGCTGCCCTGAAGGAAAGCAGTGGAGAAGTCGAGAGAGTGTAACTCGTAGTCTCTCTGTGCTGCTACGTGTAGTAACACCCGAAGAGTGGTCATCTTCGGGGTAGGTGCGAAGGTCTGAAAGAAGTCAACTCCCTCGCGCTGACTGAAACCTCTAGCCACGTAGCGCGCCTTGAAGACCGGGGGGGATCCCGGTGGCCGCTTCACCCTGTAGATCCACATGCCGTCGACTACGTTCGCCCCGGGGGGGGGAACCTCATCGACGTAGGTGCCTGTGGATCTGTAGGAGGCCATCTCTGCGTCCATGGCAGCTCTCCACTGAGAGGCCCAAGGCCCTGACACTGCCTCAGCGTAAGTGCGAGGAGTCGGAATGTCAAGGGCGTCGGGGTCACCCTCAGGGGCGAGGAGCATGGCACAGAGATGAGGGGAAGCGGCCGCCAGGAACTCTAGCTCAAACTGCCTGTCCTCTAGGGCGTCACAGCCAAGGGCAGACACACCCCCGACGGCCAGAGGACTGGTAGGAGGAGCAGCCACAAGCGTGGTGGCGTAGTCAAGGCGGCGGGTAGAGGCAAAGTCAGTAACTGCGGCAGTAAGAGCGGACACAGAGGACACAGAGGCACGAGGGTGAGTAACAAGAGAGGCGAGAACACGAGAGAGAACAGGACGGTACGTGCGGTAGTAGTCAGTGACAGGAGTAGGGAGCGACACAGTGAGGGCCGACTCAGGAGGAGACGGAAGCACAGACTGAGACGGACGAGGTGGACTAGAAAGAAGGAAGGCAGTACGAAGGTCAGTGAAGGGAACAGGAGACGAGGGACGAGCACGAGGGGAGCGACGAGTAGCCCAAGAACGAGACGGAGGAGGAGAGGACAAAGGCGGAGAACTGGGGAAAACAGCGGGGGAGGAGTCAAGAGGAGGAAACGTGGGACCGTAGACAGGAGGAGAGGCGGAGGAGGGAGGAGAAGGGGAGGGGAGACCAAGGGTCCGAAGACCCGAGACAGGAGGAGGAAGTGGCTGCTGCTGCGACTGCTGCTGCTGCGGAAGCGGCTGCTGCTGGGACTGCTGCTCCTGCGGGTCCAGCTGCTGCTGCTGCTGCTGCTGCTCCTGCGGCTCCAGCTGCTGCTGCTGCTCCTCCAGCCGCTGTAACTCCCTCTCCTCTCTCTCCAACGCCAGCTGCTCGTCACGGGCACGGCGAACACGAGCCTGGTGCCTAGTCGGGTAGGGGTGGGGGGGCGGAGTAGTGTCCGAAGCAGCGGTAGCTCCAGAGTCCACCCCCGAAGAACCAGGCGCACCACCCCCAGAGGCAGCACTAACACCAGCTCCAGACCCAGGCTCGCCAGAACCCGAAGGAGGCGCACTCTCACCCCCAGTGTCCGCGCGACCAGCACCAGCTCCCGGACGACAAGAGTCCTCTGCACCCACCGGGTCAGCTCCAACTCCAGAACCAGAAACTCCAGCTCCAACTCCAGCTCCAACCCCAGCACCCCCAGAACCAGAAACTCCAGTGCCAACTCCAGCTCCAACTCCAGCTCCAACTCCAGCTCCAACACCACCACCCCCAGAACCAGAAACCGGTACAGGAACAGGCGCAGCACCAACCTCTCGAGAGCTAGCACCTGCGGCACGCTGCGAGGAGGACTGTGGGGAGGGAGGCTGTACCGGAGAGGCTACCGAAGGAGGAGGGGTAGCCTGGGACACACCCGACGGGGCTGGACCAGGGGGGAGAGGCTGTACCGGGGGAACAGGAGGGGGAGCGGCAGTCAGGAAGAGGGGGGGAGGAGGAACCTGGAGGGGGTACCTGACGTAGTACGGAGTGGACTCCTCGAAACGGACGTCACGGGAGTCAAAGAACCGGTGAGAGGGAGGGTGGTAAAAGGTGAAGTCAGAGGAGTCCTCAGGGAAACCAAGGAAGACACAGGGGACGGCACGAGGCGAGAGCTTGTCCACGGAGGTGTCGCGGACAAGAGCCAAGCACCCCCAGACACGAAACCGCGACGCAACACCAGGGGACCCTGTCCAAAGACTGGTCGGTGAAACCTCTGGTCGAGAGACACGTGGCCAGAGGTTCAGCTGGTGCGCGGCGTACCTGACCGCGTAGGGCCACAGAAAATGGGGGGCACAGGCGTGAGTCAGGGAGGTGCGGGCGATCTCCATGACCAGGCCTATGCGGCGCTCAGCAACCCCATTCTGCTGTGGGGACTCTGGAAGCGTCCAGGACTGACGAATGCCCTGCTCGCGACAGAATCCAGCGAGAATGCCGGAGCGAAACTCACCCCCACGGTCGGAGTGGAGGCAGCTGACACGACGACCACGAGTGTCCTCGGTGGTGAGCAACCACCTTATCAGCGTAGAAGTCACCTCAGACTTCTTCGCCAGAGGGAACACTGTGGTGTAGCGGGAGAAGTCGTCAACGACCACCAGAAAGTAGCGCTCACGCTCAGGGCCTAGACGAGGGGCGGGGCCCCAGACGTCCAAGTGAAGCGTCTCAAAAGGCTCGGTGGCCGGACGAAGGGAGGAGGAGTGAGGGGCGGCGCGCAGCCGACCCTCGACGCAGGGACCACACGGCGGCGCAAGCGAAGGCGGCAGCGACGGCAAGACACGTGGGAGGCCTAGGACAAGACGCTGACTAGACATAGCGCGCAGACGAGGAAGGGACGGGTGCCCCATCCGGTGGTGCCACAGAACGGTGGGGTGGGCAAGCGACCGGCAGGAGCACGACGCAGCGACTGGAGCAGACGTAGGAACCTGACACGACACAGACACCTGGGGGGACGAAGCAACCTGGTGAGACGCGGGGACCCGAACGGGGGGGGGAACCGGGGGCAGTGGCAGTAGGGGCGGCTGCTGGTGCGACCGCTGGTGCAGCTGCTGCTGCTGCTGGTGCTGCGGCTGCGGCTGCTACTGCTGCTGCGGCTGCTGCTGCGGCGCACGCGGGCCAGTGTGAAGAGTGTAGAGACCTGAGCCCGGCTCAGCAGTAAAGGTAGCAAGAGGCTGGTAAGAGGCTCCGTCAACACACACCGCAGTCTCTCCAGAAGGCTGAAACCACACACCCACGTGCTGACTCACGAGGGGTCGCACGCCCACCAAGTTCCGGGAGAACGAGGGGACGTGAAACCCAGTGAGAGACCCGGAGGGAGCAGCAGGACACGGTAAAGTGGTA